TTTTGAGTATTTTCACACAATAAAATAATATTATGGACTAATAAATGGACTATAAATTGGAGGGAGATCTCATTTCGAAAATTTATTTTTTAGGGAGTAATTTTTCATGCGATAAAAACGTGTGATGGTGACCGCATTGTGACATGTGATTTACTTCTTAGCACGTGTTCACTGTACAAACAGAAAGAAAGGTTCTTCGTATCCGGCCGTTTTTCATCTGAATCGTTAGCGCCCGGTTGATAACCGACGCATAAACAGTAATTTAACTGACACGTGTGGTACCAATATTTTTTAATATTATTATTTTTTGGGGGGAGTTCAGAGGCCATGGGCCATTTAAAAATTCATCCATCATTCTTTCGGCTATATTTTCTCATTAAACAGGGATTCACCTTCTTATTTATTTTTTATTTTTGGTTGCCTGTTTGTTTTTTTTTTTTTCGTAAAGAACAACCCTTCAGTTTTCTTCCCTCTCTCTCTGTCTTTTTCTTTCATTCTTCAGGTATATACACAGTGGAACTGTGGGTTAATTTGAATATATTACGACGTAAATAAATCCGTTTTCTTTTATTTGAACGAGGGTGCGAGAGAGCGGTCGCGTTATTTTATTAGTACCCGTCACCACGTTTGCCACACGATTGTGATTTATTGGTTCTTCCATTGTGCACTCACGAGGTGTCTGACCATCGAGGAGGGTTTCATTCATGTTTTTGCTGTTCTTTATATGCCACACCTCACAATATTTATACACGTTTAATTGATTATTCATACCCAATTTATTTATTTTTAATAATGTTATTTCAAAAGTTATAAAAATATAAAATTGGATGATTTTTACTTGTTCTATTTATGTCAATGTTTTGACGATAACATATACAACTAAACATACAACACCACGTCGGTAATATAGTCGGTAACTAGCTGTCCACTCAGGCATAAAGCCTGTTCTTCGTCGACGATGCTTCTATTCTGTGCGCAAATTGTCGCTCCATCTTTTCCTTGGTAATCCCAGACTTCGTTTCCACAAATCAAAACAGTCGTAATTAACCATTTACTCCCACATTTAATTCACGACTAACCTAACAATCATACACAACCTAACCAGATTGATGTAGCTTGTATCACGGAAACACACCTAGCTCCAAGTGAGACTTTCCGAATAGCAGGATATAGTGTACATAGAGCAGATAGACCTTCTGCCACAGCTGCCGGAGGGGTGGCGATTATAATTAAAAGACAAATTCAACATCATGTGCTGTAAAACCACCGCTATTGAAGTAACGTCAATAGTAATCCAAACAATTTAACTCCAGTTAATATCATATGTGGATACAAACAACCTAACAAAAAACTATTAGAAACTGACATAAGTTCAATGTTGAGTAGCTCTATACCTACCCTACTTATAGGAGATCTTAACAGCAAGAATAAACTCTGGAGATGCAGAGCAGATAATCCATCAGGACTGAATCTGGAATTATTAGCAATCAAATACGGTTTTCAAGTGCACTGCCGAATCAATTTTACCTACTTTCTAATAACCAAAAATTTTGCCATACAGTTAAATCTGTGTGTAATCAGCGACTTAAACTCGGATCATTTCCCAGTAATCATCACCCTAGCAAAACAACCTGAATACAAACCTAAAACTCCTAAGCTGATCAATGGATTCATCAACTGGGCAGAGTTTGGAGACTCACTGAATAATCAAGAATTTAACTTACCAACCTGAGCTACTCCGAACGAGTTAGATGCAAAAATCCGCTCGCTGATTTCAAAGATTAAAGAAGCAGTTGTCTCTTCAACGAAACTCTTCAAAAGGAATCCTACAAGCAATTACAACCTTCCCCCTAACAACATCTTAGACCTAATCAAGGAAAAACGGAGGGTTCGCAGAGAATGGCAACAGACGCGTAACCCAGAAATAAAAACTACACTGAATAGACTAACTCATACAATTTCACAGGAACTAGATGCCTATAGAATCAACAATTATAGAAAACTCAGCGAAAGTTTTGAAACAAATGACCCGGGGAAAGGAAAATAACGCGGACATATGAAGAAACCTACCCTATTAGTCAATAAAACACCAGTATTATCGGACGAAGACAAAGCCAACACCTTTCCGGAATATCTGGAAGAATGTTTGCGACCGAATATCAGTAAAGAGAATATTCATCCCATTATTACAATCTAACAATATAATGAATCCCATCTATTAACTCCAGCAACTACCGAGACCGACAGAATATCAGTAGAAGAACTAAAGGTAGAAATAGCTAATATAGTAATAAAACACCTTCCTGAGAAACTACTGAGTCACATCACAAGAATTTTTAATCGCTGTCTGAAAATTGGCTACGTTCCGGTAATATGGAAAAAAAAAGCGCAAATTCTAATGTTTAGAAAGCCAGGCAAAATCAATACGGACCCAGCCAATTATGGCCCAATCAGTTTCAATTCAGTCATCCATCATCGACTACAAGAAGAGTTAAGTCTCCTCAAAATAATCCCAAACATCCAGTACGGATTTAGAGAGGGACACTCCACGGTTCACCAACTGGCAAGAGTAGCGGAATATATCGAGGAAGGGTTCGAGGCTAAAAAGTTTACAGCTGTTGTTTTGCTGGATGTAGCAAGGGCCTTTGATACTGCCTGGATTGAAGGATTAAAATACAAGCTCGATCTAACGGGATTAAGCAACAATTTACTTGCCATTCTGTTCTCCTTCCTGGAGGAGAGAACTTTCTCCGTCACCATCAATGGATACTCCTCAAGCACTCGAAGAATACTTGCAGGCATCCCACAAGGTAGTAATTTATCCCCTGCTCTGTTCAACATCTTTACGCATGATATCCCGACCGACGTAAACTTCGAAATGGCAATGTTTGCGGATGACATGTTAATAATGGGACAAAACGAAATATTTATTGATGCTATTGAGACACTTCAAAGGTCAGTGTCTGGGAATGGTTATCAAAATGGGCCATTCTGCTCAATGTCAGCAAATGCCAGACCAAGATTTTTCGCTAAGACCCTATCGAAATGTTCCTTACATTATTATAAACGACCAAGAAATATAGTGGAAAGCAACAGATGAAGCCAGTAAATACCTCGGAGTTCTCCTTGATCATCGCCTCACTTGGAAACTTCACATAAACTCAAACGTCAATCAAGGATATGCCAGGCCTCGCCAATCCTATTCTCTGATCAGCAGAAAATCACCACTGCAAACTGGGTGCACTCTACTTCTTTACAAAACCCTCATCAGGCCACTAAGTACTCCTGCCCAGTTTGGAGCAATTCATCAACTTCAAACATGCGAAAAATTCAAACCCTATAAAATAAACTACTGCGGATCTCAGTGATCGCTCCATGAAGACTTAAATGTGCCAACTATCAGCGAATTTATTAAAAATCTAACTAAAAAGTTTTTTAACAATATCAGTAAGTGCTCTAGTGCGGTTCAGCATCAAGTTGTTCGCCAACAAATCCACACGCATTTAAAGAGGAAGCTTCCCCAAAACCTAATAGCATCCGATTCGAACTAGCATTTCATAGCTCGGAAGTTGCATATTCTGTAATCCATAGTATTTACATGTAATTATTTCTTTTTTTGTATCAATGCAATCACGAAAAACATTGTCATTGTTGAATTGATTTTGAAATAAATAAAAAAGAAAAAGACTTCGTTTATCTAGCGACGATTTATTTCACTAGTCTGTCTTGTCTTATTCTTTCTATGTGTGCATTCCATTCTTTCTTCAATTTATGTGTCCAATTTCTAATATCTGTTTTGTTTTAGACGTGTCAGGTCTAGTCTCAGCCGTATAGGTCATGGTCATGCTCTTATATGTTCCTCTATAAAGTATCGTTTAAGCAGCCTGCTGTTTAATTATTTTTCAATTTTTAAAATTAATTTTTTTTTGGGTTCATCGACTTCATGCTACATTTGGAAGTTAGTTCACCAATTTAGTACATAAAGAGGACACAATGGAAAACACGTGACTCGCACTTTGACATTCATGACACATAAAAATCCACTCGAAGTCAATCATTTTTGGGTAACTACAAAAAGAATCTGACGTCATTGCAATCATTAATAGGTACATTATAATTCCAAAGTGTTTCTTGAACTGGGAAGTACTTATAAGAACAAAAATACAGTCATCTCGAAAGAGATATAGAACTATTTCAAATAATATTCAATCATTCTGGTCGCGTACGCAGTTTCACCGAGAGACGTTAACGCATTTTCGCCTTCGTCGAAAGGGGGGAATCGGAGAAGTTCTTACAACCGCCGCGGCTCCCATTAATATTTATCGACCCGTAATCTATTTATTGATCTAAATAACTCCGTGTCTCCGTTTGTGGTGCACCTCTTAAGAGAGGATCTGATTTCGGAACGACTTGAATTTTTTGTTTTCTTTTTCTTTTCTTTTTTTTGAGTTGTTGTTTAAACCCGTTAGATCGGCGCAGATGTAAAGAGACTTTCTTTCTCTTTGCTATGTGGATAAAATTAGTGGGAGGCTCGAACGCGTACCCGTGTCATTAGTGATTTCTCACCAACCGTAAACGGATGATAAATTGCAAAGGCGGATACTCATCATGGTCATACGAGGAAAACATTCTTTTTTGTAATCAACATGAACTTTATCGAATAAATTATAGTATAGCAATACGAGAAATTGGTTTTAATAGAGAAATCAACTTTCTATTTGATCAAATTCTGAACATATGAGTATGATAGAGAAAAGTAGCAAATTAGATATTCATATTTAATCATCTCATTACATAAACGTCAAAAATGCTGTTGTATAAGTAGTAAGTTTCCTAAAAAAAGACTCAAATAACAATTTTAGTACAAAATATAAACAACATATCTTTATTGACGTTTAATTTGACAGCTGGTAATTAATAAATTTGTATATTTAGTTGCATATGTTGTACATCTTTTTTTATAATTTGAATTTGATTAAAACAATCTTTTTTGATTTCAGGTAAAAAATGGAGATCATTAACACCACAAGATCGTCGTCCCTTTGTAGAAGAAGCTGAACGTTTAAGAGTAATTCACATGACTGAACATCCCAATTATAAATACAGACCTCGACGTAGAAAACATAATAAACAAAGAAGTACTTCCGGTGTGACTGGACCCCGTGTTGGGACGAGTTTACCGTCTCCGAACGTGCCAAACATGTCCCCGAGATACTCCGGTTACATTCCGAATTCATCGTTATCTCCAACGATGCAACAACAAACATATAACGGTCTCGAATTTCAAGGTTCAAGCGGAACCGGAGGTGAATTTGGACAGAGTCCGGAAAAAAGATACACGCCCCCTGGTACTTTTCATAATAAATATTATAATTATGGTTATCAACATCAAAGTTTTGGGCAAAAAAGTCCGTTTTCTCTACATACGCCCGATCAATCGCCTGCACATAGTCCAGAACCGAAAAATTCTGTTTTAAAGCAACCTAAAAGTCCTCAAGATAATAAGGATGGATCAAATGAAGGTGATCCGGTTCTTCCCACGCCCGATTTATCCCCGTTGGAGCAAGAATATGAGAAAGAAAGGGCATCTAACATTCAACATACATCTAATATTAATAATTTAAGTCCAACGCAAAATTATTCAAGTTCAAGTAGAATACAGAATTATCGCCAACCTAGTAACATAACATATACAAATTCTCAAGCAATTACTTCCGTCCCAATGTCAAATGGAATGTACGTTATGTGTACTAATAAAAGTTCTGTTGAACAAGGACATGTCGTAACAGGTACTTTTTATCCGCCAGTAGCAACATCTCAAGATCAACAATTATTGGGAACAACAAATTTAAATTCAACCAATTCGAATACGGTTCAATATTATTCAAACAGTCCTATGTATTATCCAAAAGAATATTATAAAGATGAATTAATGAATCATCAACAAATGAATTTAAGTTATAATCTTAAAAACGATATGATTTTAGATAAATCTGAATATGATCTTAGTTATAAAACAAACATTCAAGAACAACAAAATTATTCTGGATACGGTTCGCCTTTAGTTCAAAACTTTATTGCACCTCATGAAGAAAGAAGTGATGTAGATAGTGACGTTGATGCTAGGGAATTTGATAAATATTTAAAATATAATAATACTGAAACGAATATGATTGATTCGAATCATAATTATCATAGAAACGATGGTTTATCCTCATCGGGTGGTGTTAGTTATAATTTTCCACCTCAACATACTTCAGTTATTTTACCGAATACTAATGTTAAACCGGAACCAATGGTCGGACATTACCCGGAAGTTTATGAATTACCCGCTCCAAACGGTATTCAAAAACCAGATGATGAATTTAGTGAAATATTGGCTAACGTGAGGAAAACATGTTATAGTAACTGATGAACACTGTTAATTTTAAATTGTGTGTTGTGCAATATGTTTTTTTTAATATTCTAAAAGGTAGGATTAATATGAAAAAGAAAAACTTTTTTTTTAATTCAATGACTTTCAAAGAATATTAATAAAGAGTGAATAAAATGCGAGGTTTGATTGAAAGGAAACGAGACATCTCTTTTTTAATATAAATTATTTTTTTAAAGGATTTCTGTTTATTAACAAAAGGTATAAATAAAAGAGGTGTCTTTAGCACAAATTTATAATTAATAAAAATATTATAGTTTATTATATTCGTTATATTTAAAGAAATTTTATTTAATCATTACTTGAATTATTAAAAGAATTTTCGATTAATTTACCATTCTTTGATTTGATAATTGAAATTGTAACTTTCTGCAAATTATGCAATGAAAATTATATTACATTACTATTTAATGGAAAGGTTTTTGTGCCCCAAAAACATAATATTTCTAAGTTGGTAATGGGAATTTTCGCAGATATTGAGGCTTAGAATCATTATCATACTGAAAATTTTACGCAATTTTACGAATAATATCACGTTTCCACGGTTTTGACACACAATACCATAATAGTATAGTATAACCTCATGTTTATGGTTATCTACATGTTTTTGGAAATATTCTCTAGACCATCGTCATAGTAATTTTCGGCTACTATAACCTGTATATTTTATTCTCGTCCGACGAAAACACATTATTCCAGAAGAATAATGGGTTGTTTGTATACCTTGCAAATTTTAATACTTTTTTTGTACCTGAGATTCACCAATAACTATTTCAAAAGATGACTCTACTTATTGCTTCATAAACACATCAATAATTTAATGTTAACATGTTGCTGAATTCTTGCTTAATTCTCACATTATAACTGACATCATTAAAACATATCCGTAAAAATTAGAGATAATAGGAATTATACATAAAGCAAAATTAAAATGATTTGTGTGATGCGTAAATCGACTTGTAGTGTAGATTTGTGACAGAATTGAACTGAAACATTTTTTTCTGGTTCACTTTAACACATTAATGTCAAAAACAATATTTCAAACTATGATTCATAATATATGATATGAGTCGTCAACATCCATCCATCCCAAGCGGGTTTAAAAGTTTTTTTTTGGCAAATATTTTTGGAAAATATGAATGTATAACAATATACTTTTTTTTTACAAGAGTACAAATATGATTTGGGCGTCTTGTTAGCAAAAACTTGACATCTGCGTCTTGCTGCATCAAAATAACGTGTCGTCTGAGAGACAATTTGGTGATTTGGTATTGACTCTTTTTTTGTGCCATTCAGCATCATTACAGAGACTTTTCAATAAACCAGAATATTAAAGGACTTTTACAGAATACATTTATAATTTGAAATTGGGCCAATTCTAAACTCATTTGTTAAAAAATGACCACACTCTTGTCTTTCTAATTTACTCCAACCACATTAGTTCTGTAGTATCTATTAGTTTACACAGTTCTCTGGTTTCAGTGTTGTGCTCGATAGGTTTTTGCAAATTCCATCTCGGCGTTTAGATATACCTTTCACCTTTCATATCAGTCTCCTGCATTTGTATTTAACATTTGTATTTAGAAATAACATATTTACAAAGTGTGATAACATGGGATATCGGCTAGTTAATTGTAAGTTAGGTTGGGTTAGAAACCAGATGAAAACCACTACAAAACGAAAACCGTGCAAAAATGACAAACTTGAGTTTTGGCAAAATCGAAAAAGTAAGTTTTAGGATGCACACACATTAACAATACAATGATTATTGAGCTTTATCGATAATTCCTACAATTTCTATCTTAATTCATTATTAATTAACCCAAGTCCCGTCTGACTGAATGTGCAATGCAAATTAATAAAAATTGGATTAAATCAAAATATATTCAAACTTTATTTTAAACGTTGATATCAAAATTCTTTTAATAATTCATGAGTTTTTGTATATAAATTTTAGTTAAGTTTTTTTTTAAACGGAAACAAATGTGCCTTAAAAGAGAGCAATTTTAAATTATACACGTTTAAATTAAAAAAGAAATTAGTACATACATTTATAATAATAATTTTTCTATGTTATTCCACTTATTACTTTTATAAAAATACTTGATATGGATTATATTCTTAATATTTAATGTTCGAAACCATATCGAAAGTTGTTTATTTGTTTTATTATTTCCTGTTCAAGATCTCAATGAATTAAATGTAAATTTTTTTCGTATTAGAAACGGTCCAATAAAAATAATAATTATTAAAAAAGACTCTCAAACACCGTCGCCGTTGGCCAGTAGTAAACGAAAAAAAGGAACTTATTTATAATTGAATAACGAACAATATATCTGTGAAAGTGATATTTTTAAATACAATGTTATTAAAATAATTAAAATGTTTTTTTTATATTACTCAGTGCCTTCAAAGCAACAAAAAAATATATATAAATAAATAAACTATTTTTTTTAAATAGAATACTCCGTATGTATCTTATAATAATCGAGATAAATTATTTAAATTTAACTCTAAAGTTGTATATAAACGATCCGAGTATATTTTGTTACGTTTCTATACAAATTGTACAGAGGTTTAGTTTTTTTATAAATAAATATTAATAAGCAAGATTCCTATTTTGTAAAAATAAATTTTAAAAATTATTAATAGTGCCTTTGAAAAAAAATAAAATAAAACAAATATCAGACTGATGTAGCAAATAATTTGTTAATTAAACACTGCGATAATCACAATAATTAAGAAAAAATTTTAAATTAACACATCACCTTAAAAAAATTACATTGCAAATAAAGAAAATATATATATATTTGTTACATAAAGAACCAAAGTTTGTAAATCTTGTAATATAATTATTTTACTTTTAAAATCTTATAAAACGAATATAAACGTGAACGTTTATTATTATTTTTTCTTTTTTTTTTTTCGATTTTCGATTTCTTTCTATTGTTTTTCTTTATATTTGTTTTTCCTTATATTTTTTTTCCGTTTAGTTTTGAATATATCTGTATATTATAAGTAAATATGGGACAAATACAATCTTTTTAAACATTAACCTTCGTTTTATTTCGACGCCAACCCAACCTCATCAAACAAAACCTACACAGTATCTCTACATGATTTACTCTAATTACACGTATCTTTTCGTCACGGTAGGTTAATCATGTGGAAGAACGCGCAGTCATGAAAACACCAAAAGGTGTCTTGAAATTCTAAAATAATTCTTTAAGAAGATAATTATTGTATGTATGTAGTTTCATGTGGGGGTGAATTCTTTCACAGCACTTAGGCCCCTTTGTACATCCCTACAATTTACAGTTCATTCAGGGGTCAGAAATCCACCCCAGGTTTTAATGAACGTTAATATAGAACAGAAGGGTATGTTCTTTATGTCCGAAATTTGGGGCCGTGGCAATTTGAGGTCATATGACTTACTATAAATAATAACAGAAGAAAATGAATAAAAGATAAAAAGGAATTCGTATTAAAATTGTTAATCAAAAACTAAGTTGGGTAGTTTTTAATGGCAAATAGACACCAACTCACTTCTACGAGGTGACAGTCTTATAAATGACTGAAATATTTAAAGCCTTGTACATGCTAATTCTCCTTGCGCATTTAAATTTTAAATCACCCTACTAGAATTATACGCGCGTTTGCGGTATATGCTCATTTAGGCACTTTATTAATGGTCTTAACCGGTCGTATTGTCTCTAGTTTATTAGATACTGCCCGACTCGGTAAAAGATCAACATTATTAATTTTTGTATTTTTAAAACAAGCTCGCTAAAAATACTTTTAGAGTATAACCTTAAATGACCTTTAAATTAACTGGAGTAAACAATGACAAAATTAACATATTTTCCACAATATATCGATAGAAAAGTTGTAAAATTCTGGTTTTAATATATTTATGGGGCTGGGTTTATTAATTTAGAATAAAATAGTTTTCGTTTATTAGAAAAGTATAGAATTAAACATTCTTGAACGTTTCTAAGAATAAAAATAATTTATACTTATTTAAACTTAAAATTTATTATTAATAAGCTATCCGGAGAGAGAGAGATTTCGTCCAATCGGAAAAAATGGTGCTGATGTATGTTCTAGACTGATCGTCGCGCCTTTATTTCTTTATGTAGGTAAAATAAAGGCGCGACGTCCGGTCTAGAACACATATCAGCACAATTTTTTCCGATTGGACGAAAATATGGCTTATTTTTGTTTGCTTTTAGTTTACAATTCGCTCTAAAAAAATCACAGAGACATAACTTTGATATAACGGGATCCGATAACTGCAACTATTTGACATAATTTGTTTAAACTACGTTGAAATGCAGTCGTTTTTACTTAATACTTAGTACAAACCACTAAAATACCAAGTTTCATCGAAATTATTATTACAGTAAGTCTTGCAATGGGACCAAACTAGTTCATTTACATTATGCTGACGAATGATAAAGAACAACACTTTTTTTATTCAACTGAAGATTATCGACAACATATCTTTGTGTATTTTGTTGTAGAAGTGAAGAACTTCGTTTTCTTTCCGGTTTATTACGGTATATGCTGTAAATAAAAGGTTTAGAAATCTGATGAACAAGTTTGAATTAAAGAAAATGAATTTATCAAAGAAATAATACATAAATTTTCTACAAAATCGAATGACTTCTTGTTTCTATTTACACCTTAGCACGACTTGTTTTAGTATAACTGTCAACTTTTTGCTTGCGTTCATTTTATTTTACTTATTTATATACAAATATTAAATCGAAAACTGAATTTTGGTTTTTTGAATAACGAAAGCTCAAAATTTGTGTCACAAATTGATTTCAAAGCATAACAAAACTTTTCTGTTAATTTTGCCAACTGTTACCAACTAAACAATAACTCGATAGGTATTATAGAAAAAACATAGTGTAATAGGGTAATAGAAATAGGTATAAAAGAAGTGAACCAAGTCAGGTAATGAAGCAATTGTCACAAATTAGATAAAAAATTACAAGGAAAGTCGACTGTTGGTGGAATTGATTTACTCCTAAGTATAGACTAGAGAACCATAAAGGAATGGTGGTAAAGAAGTGTTAAGTTTTTCTTGAATTATCTACATATTAAGCCAAATTGTATACGTACATTTATGTATACGTCTTGATATAGTTTTTACCTTAAGATGAACTAGAAACATTCGAGTTTAGCCTTGCGTCTCTTACAACGGCTAACCCGAATGTTTCTAGTTCTAGGTCTAATGTTAGTTCTAGTGACAGTGCAAGATAGCGCTAGTTAGCATTAGATATCACTATGTTGCATAGTTTTATTGAACTAAAACTACAACTAACACTAGACCTAGAACTAGAAACTTTATAATTTTGCACTTTAGCACTGTTGCTATGTAGAACTAACACTATACCTAGAACTAGAATCATTCGGGTTTAGCCGTCTTTAGACACGTGCAGCTAAACCCAAATGATGTAGAACTAACACTATACCTAGAACTAGAATCATTCGGGTTTAGCCGTCTTTAGAGACGTGCGGCTAAACCCAAATGTTTCTAGTTCTAGGTATAGTGTTAGTTCTACTTTTACATTTACACTGTCACTAGAACTTACACTAGACCTACAACTAGAAGCATTTGGGTTTAGCCGTACGTCTCTCAAGATGGCTAAACCCGAATGATTGTAGTAGTGACTAAGTGACGGTATTGGACATATACGGTATATACATGTTATGTGGACAATGTAAATACATAATACTTTCATAACTTATATTGCAAGTAATATGAAAATAATGTAAATTTGCAATATATTAAATCCCTTAGAACATAGATATAGCGATTAATATTAATTAAAAACTTTAAACATTTTAAAGTAAAATTTAAAAGTTTAACCATCTGGTGTTCGGTTTTTACCATAGTAATCTTTATCTCTTGAACGTTGGTCGCCGATCTCCGGCGTCCGTCCCTTGAATTATTACGTCTGAATAAACGCAATCACGAGGGGAATGCCGCGGACTCCGGTACCGAAACGAGGAGAAACAAAGATAGAAAGAGATAGAAGTCACACAGTGTACAAATATTAAACAGGCGGTAAACGTAGCCGCAATAAATAACCCATTTCGCCGGTGGTGTCGCGTCCGATCGTTCTTCGCCCTATCTTCGGTGCGGATCTTCCGATATTTAAGCGAACGAACTTCCCCCTTTTCCCCTTAGCCATCTCGACCACCATGCCCCCTGAGGCTCTCCCGCTCCCGGAAAAACGGAGGCGGAGAGATTTATTACCATCCGGCTAAACACTTTTATACCAACGGACGTTATTTTTCTTAGAAGCGAGATATAACCAGTGGGAATGAAGTTGTAAATGTCGAAGAATCGAAGAAGAAGAAGCTGCCGTTGTCTACAGTCTAGACTTGTGTAGGTTATGGATAATAAACATAGCACCCGTATTACTTAAATTATTACTACACGGTTATTACAACTAAAAACTAAGCAAAAGTAAATTTTGATAAATGGTAATGCTTCTTGGGAAAATGAAGATTGGATTTAGTTATTTGTACGTACATTTTGAGTGTTATTATGTCGTTCTTTGATTTTATTAAAAAGTAACAGTATTGATATGGTTGGTTGGTTGTTAAAGATATTTAAATGTGTAACGGAAGTGTACGTAAATCTCAAACATCCTTAGAGAGAAAAGCAAAATACGGTCGAAGGATGTCAGCGCCGTCCGCTGAAAATCGAAAATGGAAATGTCTTGACATATTGACGTGTACTTATTAATATTAATAAAGCCGGCCGGAGAACCGATCCTGTTCTCGCCGGCTGCGCCTCCGAACCCGCCGCTTGTATACACAATATAGTTTTGTTAAAATATCGATCAACCGTTACATCCACCAAATAGACATTACGTAATCAAAAAGATTCAAAAACAATATTCTAAAAGAAAACTTTGGGTATTAATGATTTTAGAATGTTGATGACATTTTTAAATGTTTATAGATGTAGTAGATGAAAAAGGGGGAAGAACAAAAAAAGTACACTGAAACGAGCAAAAACGAAAAACTGATCGAGGTCAACTACGGTGGACCACGGAGGACCAGATTTAGGAGGATGGTAATGGAACGTCCAGTGACAGCCAAGATGTGGTTAGTTAAAGCGGCAACTATTGGCCGCCAGATGTCAGTACGGTAGCGGGTGACAGCAAGAGCTAATATATGTCCACCGATAGTCCGGACAATTTCAGGACCGTATTTATAGAAATTTTCAAATATAAACTTTTAATTAAAGAAATTTGTGCATATGTTGGTAATGTCAACACTTAGTGTTACTTATGCCTCAATTTTCTTCCAACTTTATCATAAAATCTTGCACAAGTATATTTAGGATTAATGTCTTGTACATCCAGGTTATCATGGTCACTTACATAAGATGTATTTTGTATTATCTTGAGTGTATTGACCAGAGTTTTCAGATTATCAATTCTTCCCGGCTTCATTCTCCCTCCTTTACAGAATTTCATCAAGGTGGCTGGAGTAGTAAATATTACTGTTATGTCTCATATTCAGAGCGTCAAACAATCTGCAAAATTATGAAAAAAGCAGTAAACAGACTTACTTGCTTGCAGCGAGATTGTCTAGCTCAACCTATCCTCTCTAATATCTTTCTATAGCTAATAAACTGTGTCTAATAAATTAATTTATTTGAAGGAGCCCACAAATTCCTTAACACTTAAACATACGCGTGGAGTATTTTCTTTTTCTTCCTTCTGTATTTAGGCATAACTGCCTGTTTTGTTTCACGTTTTTGTCCCCTAATCGTTTGCTCCATCTTTTTCTAGGTCTTCCAATGTTTCTTCGTCCTGATGATGATTTGTTCCGTGTTATTTACACAATTCGTTCTTCTGTCATTCGGTCGATGTGCTCGTTCCATTTCTTCTTTCTCTCAAATACCAAATTATTGATGTTATCTCTCCTGCAACCTGTCTGATGTTCTCACTTTATTTTCTATAAATTAATGTTATTCATTAACAACTTTTCTACGCACTATTTTCATTTCTGTAGTTTCTAGCATTCTTTTTGTTTTGGATGTTTCTGGTCGAGTCTCTGCTGCATATGTCAATATAGATTTAATTGCTGTCTTGTATATCCGGGCTTTGGCTGCAGTTCTATGTTTATTCCGCCATATTGCTGTCCTTGCCACTCTTGCAGCTGGATTCCTTACATAATTTGATTCCTTAATTTGATCCTGTGCGACAAATTAAGTGTTAATACCCTCCCTACGCAAAAATTATTACTCCATTCCTTACAATCACCTAGAATTCATCTACCCCTCCCGTTAACTCCAACTATGCCTTATTTTGAAATTCGGTTCTGCTGGCTCCTTTCTTTACTCCTGTTCTTCTTCAGTCCCTCCACACCAAAGTTTACCCAAATTCTACAAATTTATTAATACATATAAAAGATTATTCTCAAAAAAATCAGTTTGAATTGAAAAATGTTTTGAATACAACTCTGTGTTTGGAGTCTGAGTTAGGTTCGTCCGAGAAGGGGCGGTATGCGATCTCTCGCGACCATAACTTGCAAACTGCCATCTGACCACGCACTATCTACATATACATATGCGGGGCAGTCAGCGTCGGAGACCGCCACCGCCAAGGATCAAGGCACCACACAAATCCGAAGTACGCGCGTCTTCGTTCCCTTTTTTACTACAGGAACTCCCCGCTCCCTCGGGTTCTTTATCCCTTATTCAGATATCGGCGACAACGTCCCCGTTTCCTATATCAAGTCCGTTTATACAATAATTTTAAGAGAAGTTTTTTAAGGAACGATTTTATGATAAGATTATTATTAATCTGAAACAGATAAAAAGATTATGCAAATATTTTGAAAATTTCCGTTTTTGACAATGTCATATTGTTCACATTGGCGCCACCTATGATTTAGTTATCTACATACACTTGAAATTATGATAATTGTTTTAAAATAATAAACAATTAACTCTTATGTTGTTAAAATTTATTTAAATTATTATTGCAAAAGAAAATTCAAAAAATTTCTTTATATTGCCTTAAATTTTTTAATTCACCGAATACTTTCGCCATCTATAATCCAATAACTACATTAATTACAACCAATTTAAATTATAATTATTCTTTTAAATGATAAGATAAATTTAATTAATTACTATCATATAATTTTATAAACTAATTCTCGAATAGCAAAATGTTGGCTTTATTTAGAATTAAATAATAAATTTATGATAAAGTAAAAACTTTTTTTTTTTTAATAAATGTAATCTGCAATACCAACAGTAAACCGTCAAACATCTGTCAAGACAGCTGCTCTTTTATTGTAAATATTTGTGTTCTTTTAACATTTTTACCTGCCAAAATTACAGTAGTAACAAGAAATAAATAAATATATTACGAAGAAAATTGTTCAAAACGAATACCTTAAACAATGGCGGAAAGGTGAGTTAATTAACCGTTAAAATGCCCTATATTTTAACGTATTCCATACGAACCATAAACTATACATAATAATAAACGAAATACATAACAATGTTTTAATGGATCTTTAGCAATTAAAATTTTAATGAGTTTTTTTATAGTAACGATAGTTGGTTTGGTTCATGGTTAAACGCCGCTAAAAATAAGGTAATAAACGCAATTATTTTATTAACATTATTAAGAAGGGATTTTTACTGTTCTAAACTAGAGTACAGAAGTGTTAGAGTTTGTTAAAAAAGATTTAGGCGAATTGGGACAAGCCGTTAAAACAGAAGCAACAAATATGGTTTCTTCAACAGGTTCAGTTCTCGAAAAAACATTAAGGGTAAATAAAATCATTGAAATTTAATTTAATAATACAATAACGCGTTGTTTAAATTAATTTTTATAGCTTAATGAACCAGAATCAACAGCAAATACAGTCAAGAAAAGTATTAGCTCATTTTTAGGTAATTTTTTATCGCTTAATTTATATTTTTAATGCTAAATAATAATTTTTAACAAGGTCAAGTCAACGAAGCGCTTAATCCAAGTCCAGAAGATGAAGATACCGAAGCTATTTTAATTACAGATGGAGATATGGTACCATTAACAAAACTGCAGGTAAAGTTGTTTGTAAATAAAGCATAAAATCAAAGATAAGATAAGGCTTTATTATTTTATGTATATGTGAGTTATTTTTATCTTTAATTTTTTTAAAGTGCGCTATATATGATCTTCAAAAGAAATCTTCAACTTTTCTCACCGATCCAGATAGTTCATTAGAAAAACGTTATCAATGTTGGCTTGAAATAATAGATGATCAACTTACTGAGTATAAATTAAATAAACATCTTGCAAATTCAGTAGTGTTAAGTGAACAATATAGTAAATTAGTTCCTGATCATGTTTCACATGATATTTTTTGGCAAAGGTAAATTTAAAAATATATATTTATGGATTTTATTAATTTTTTCCAAAAAATGTAGATATTTATTTAAAAAAGCTTTACTAGAAGATGATATAGCTTTACAAGATGATATAGAGAAAAGACGTGAAATTAAAGGAGAAGAAATAATTGAAGTTACCGATGAAGATTCTGTTAAATGGGAACAAGGTGGGGAAAAACTATAGAATAGATTATTAGTTTTAATTTAGATGTAAAATCCGATCAATAAAAAAGAAATAATTATAAATAATATTTTTCATAGAAGATTTTGCACATGATGTTGAATTAACGGAAGAAGAACAGATAAGGTTATTAGAAGAATATGAACAAGAAACAAAAATGAAAAGGAAAAATTCTGATTTAAAATTAGAAGAAAAGACATCTCCTAATAAAGAAAACGATAAAAAAATAGATAATGAGTCTATAATGAGTGTAGTAACGAATTCAAGTAATAGTAGCACGGATGATGATTGGGAAAAAATTGAAAAATAAAAGATAATTTTAAAAAAAACATCATTTCGTTTAAATGATACGCTAAAAGTGAAATTAGATTGTTTTTATTGTCTTTATTTAGAGATCAGTTTATAGATTTATATTTATTTGTTGTTTTATTTTCATTTATTATGGTTAAAATTTTGTATTTATCTTTAAATTGGTTTGTTTTGTTTTAAAATATTTGACTTATTAACTCTTTGACAATACAAATTTGTTATTTCTTAATAATTTAAGAAATCATATTGACGTGTATTTATGAATCTTACTCAATTCTATTTGAGCATATAGTTATAACCTAAAATCTGACTTCCGTTAGTAATTTCTATAGTGTACTTCTATGTTTAACTTAAAAATTTGATGTAATTTTCCATATTTGTTGTCTGTTTTTTAACATATTGATAAATGTCTTTTGCAAATAAGATTCATTATATTCCTGTATATGCAAATATAACTTCAAACTCATCTAAAGCTTTTTACAAAATAGATTCTTTTAAGCTGATCATTTCTTACATTATAAGAAACAAGTTTGTGTGTTAAAGGGTTCAATTAAAAAAGCACTTGTTTAAATCACTTTTTTTCTTAAATTGCTTTAGTTTTAAGCCATAATTCACAAGAAAAGTAGCTGCGATCGCTTAATGTTTATATAGTATTAATCTTCTACAGTAAAAAAACTGACGAATTTTAAAATTTTTTTCTAATTTAATTATTATGAATTTACAATCTTTAAATTTTTTTATACTTAGTCTTAAAAGAACCGTTATTGTGCATTTTTAAAATATATACATATTTTATAGTTACAAATAAATATTTTAAAAGTATTAAAACAATTTTTTTTTGTTTAAGTTATATTTTATTTTTCCTTTAAATATTCAAATCAAAGTATTTCAAAATTCATTTTCTTCCAGCACTTAAATGTCTTTCCAAATACAAAATTTGCGCCTGACTTTCAAGCTTACTTAATTCTTGAACAATTGGTACCATTTGGGCTGTATGAGTAACATAACCTGTACCTTGCTGTTGTCTTTTTTGACCATAAACAACTTTTCCATCAAATTCATCACAAGGAATTTTAAAATCAGGCTCAACTTGTTGAATTGTTATATTTAAATGATCTTCAATATCCGCTAAATACTACAAAAAAAAGTTAAAGTTAAAAAATTTGGGGTTCAATCAATTAATTTTTAATTACTTGTGGTTCGTTATACCAAATACAACAACCCTTAACGTCTGTTAGGTTGGTGTTCCAACAGTTTCGACCGCGACTTTTGCACCATTCACCATGATACCAAACCTAATAGAAGAAATTAATTAAAACAAATTCTTTTTTACTTCAAATCAATTTTTAACTTTAATGCTTAAACAATCCATAAAAATTAATTTACCTTCTCAGGAATTGAACTAACTAAACTAATAGCTAATCCCATTCTTTCAGCACGACCAACACGTCCAATTCTATGTACATAATTTGATTTTTCATCAGGAAGAGTAACATTAATCACTACAAGAAAAAATAACGTTATAACAATTTTAAGTAAACAAAATATACCGGGAAATTCATATAACTCGCAATACATGTATGTAGTAACCATAGTTACGAAACTATTATGCACTTACACTGTCCCACATAAAATGCAACATAGAACATAACATTTTAATTTTATGGAACTTGCTAACATTTTATGGAACCAGTTCAAGTTGGTGACATTGGGGCATTAATTCTTCTAGTTGTCAATGTGACAATTTTTGTCTATGGATGTTTAAACTCGTTCTTAGCATCGAATACAATGTCCACAATGATGAGGACATTGAACTCTGAGCAATTTCTCTTATTTTGGGAGGCGTACATGAAACATTTTTTTCAGCTGAATAATTTTGATAATTTCTAATTGTCAATTCAAATTTCTATTTTCAAGTATTACGGTGTTACCAACTGCTATATACCTATTTTCCTACATTGTCAAAATTTATTTTATATTTGTTAAAAAAAAAGGATACAAACTCGAATTACAACAAAATAGCTTAAAAAAATTTGAATTCGTGCATTTCAAGCGTGTCTTATGAAACTAGTTTTTTAATATACTATTATCTAATTCCATTATGAAAATTAAATTTTACATGTCTTTCTGACGTTATGTAACGTCACCTTTTTTATAACTGGTCATGCAATGATTTTATTACATCACTAGTGATGTAATGAATTTCATTACCTAACTACAAATTGATAAATTAACATCAGTCACTATACTCTGTTTTTAAACCAGGAGGAGTAAACGCGAATGTCAGATTTACACTAGGAAAAATCACCAGAAAATATTACTAGATATTTTGGCGCTAAATTTAAATTAATAATTATTATTATTTATTTATTTACTTATTATTGTATTTATTTTCGTTTGTTATCGTCAACACTAAAGATACAAATTAACATTGAAGTTATGAGTGTATTTATTTCAAAATACATATAATAAAGAAGGGTTTAAGAACACAAAATTTACAATAATGACACGAACTGTTGAATTGTCAAAAACCTAACCTTCAAATTCAAAATCAAAATTCAAAATTGCCTGTGTGTGAACCTTCCTCGCATTCAACCAATCACGTGCAAGGTCAATCTGAAATTCAAAATCAAAATTCAAAATTGCCTGTGTGTGAACCTTCCTCGCATTCAACCAATCACGTGCAAGGTCAATCTGGTGACAAATTTAAAATACTCCTCCTGGTTTAAAAACAGAGTATAGTAGAATAAATCAAGTTTTGAACAAAAATTGCTGGAATGGAATTAGATAAAATTTTTTGTCCAGGACTACCTTATAATATATACCTTATTAATGAGTTTTCTAAAACAAAAGGTTAGTCATTTTTCACGGAGTGAATAATAGCGGTGAATAATAATCATTATACACGGGTAATCAACTTGACACGTTACAATTTCAAAAAATGTCAATTTAATTCAATTTCTTAGGAGTTTCTAAAGGTTTGACATTAAAAAAAACCTAAACAAATTCCTTTTTTCGTATGATTTAAGCATAAATTAATTAATTTTTGTAAAAAAAACGACGTTTTATAAAATTGACATTTAATTTTGACAAATTGTTGTGAAGTTGGTTACAGTTAGTAACATTGAATTTGTGTCATATTGACGTTTAAAACTTTATTCAAAAATTTATTTAAAAATAAATGTATGGAATCACTTTCAATAGTCGTGGACAAACTCACATATAATGAGCTATTAGGCACTCAGGTTAATTATGCCACTCGCTACGCTCGTGACATAAACTTAACCATAGTAAATAATAGCCCAATAATAGTATATTATAATATACTAGTACTTAACACGTTATGAAATGGCTAATTTTGTTTGACGAAGTTTTGCAAATTACGTGAGTTAGTCTTTTCATAACTGGTTACGTAAATAACTATTGGTATATTGCATTTTAAGTGAAATTCACTGTATAATTTTCCAACTGGACTCATAATTGAGACGCTGGACTAAAAGCTAACTCCCATTTAATAAACGCTTAACACAGCAGTGCATGTGTTTAAGAAAGATAAATACAAAAACATGGAATGTGTAACATTAAGATTTTATAAAACATTTCTTACTAAATGGTAATCCAGAAATATCCAAACCACGAGCTGCCACATCCGTACAAATTAAAAATTTAACTTTCCCTTGTTTAAAAGCTTCCAAATTGCTTTTTCTTTCGTGCGGTTTTCGATCGCCATGCAAACAAACGCAGGTGTAAAAATTCCTATCAATTTGCTTCATATATTTCTCCAAATTATCGCAATCCAATTTAGTTCGACAAAAAATAATGGCTTTATCCATTTTATGTTCATTAATAGCTTTAATACAATATTCCCCTTTTAACATTTTAACAGCTTCACTCAAAGTTTCAGCCGTATTGTTCCCAGGTCTAACATTATCTTCGGCGTGAACCCCATCTGTTATTAAATGCCTTTTTAAATTTGTCCATGATTTATCTTTTTGTGGATCAACCATAACAACAACGTGATGAACCGTTTCCGGTACGGCGTCTTCGCCTTTTAAATCGACCCACGTTGGAAAATGCATTAATTTATCGGCCATTTTTTTAACTTCAAAAGCATGTAACGTAGCGCTGCATACAATCATTTGTAATCGACGTGCATCCGCAGTTATTTTCGGCATTTGTCGATGTAAACGTTCAATTAATTCAGTATAACCTTGCTTTAATAAACCATCAGCTTCATCGAGTACAAAGAAACGACAGTGTGTTAACATAACATAACCACCTTGAATTAAATCTTCTAATCGACCGGGTGTCGCAACGATTATATCAACACCTGATTGTAAAGCAGATATTTGATCTTTAACGTTAACACCGCCAATTACAAGTAATTCTCGAATTTTTGGTGCTTCTAAATACTTTTTAAATTTTTTTATCTGCTCGCAAGTTTGTTCAGCTAATTCGCGAGATGGTTCTATTATTATTGCTTGGGGGGCGTTGTTAATAGTTTTTAATGTTTCTGTATTAACAGATCCATTTGTGTTTGATACTACTACATCCACAGGACAAGAATTAATTGGTTTGTAAGGGGCTGGTAAAGTGTATTTAAATGGTTTTTCACCAAAATTAAATTGCATTTCTGCATTCTAAAAATAAATATTAAGATAGAATTGGAAAGATAACAAGATGAATTCACCTTTAAAACTACAGCTGGAAAAAATGGTGAATTATTATTTTTTGGAATTTGGAAAGCGTTTCCTAAATCTACGCCATTTTTTAAAAACTTAATATAACCATTATCTAAATCGATTAAGCAACTTATAACGTCGCTTTTTCCAAAAGCTTCTCCATAATCATCAAATTGACGATTATTCGATTTTTTACCGGTTCCTCCAAAACCATAACCAAATCTATCTGTTCCTAAATCTAAATTGGCTGCTAAAGTAGACCAACCAACTCTACATAATCCCTCATCAGTAACAAGAGCTTCAAACCCCCATTTTCCTGATAAAACCCCTCTGGTACATCTAGTTCCATGCCATTCACGTTGTTCTCGAGACTGTACCCTTAATCCACAAGGTGTTACAGCTATAGCACTGCCTCTATCCACCATCGACATCGTCCATGGTGGTGCTAAAAAATATTTAAACTTAAATTGTAAAAAAAAAAACAATAAATATATAATACATGTATGAGAAGCTTTTACACTTTTCCCAGATTCTATATCTTTTAAAGTTTCCCAAACAATTTGAATAATTGGTAGACAAAATGCCGCAGTTTTTCCACTGCCTGTTTCTGCAGCCATAAGAACATCTCCTCCACCCAAAACTAATGGGATGCCTTCAGCTTGAATATCAGTTGGTAATCTATGCGAATTAACAGAAAACGAATTATTTAAAAAAATTTGGAATTGTATTATTATAACTTACGTCCAATCTAATTCTTCTATCGCCTTTGCAATCTCAGGTAGAACACCAAATTCTAATAATGAATTAAGATAACCTCAAAAGAAAATTTTGATAAATATTTAAAACCTACCTTCAAACGCCGTCATCGTAATAATAACCTCGACTATTTAAATACTTGACTTAAATAGAGGAGCTATTTACTTCGGATAAGTTTAAAATTAAATAAATTATGAGGTTTCTGAACCGGCTTTTCGTTAATGATTTGACATCTGTCAAAAATGTCAAAATGTATTTTTTAAAATGTGGTGATGTCACAATTTAATTGATTTTAGAATTATAGAATATAATATAATTAATATTTTCATTAATAATTTAATGAAATATGCTTTAAAATCACATCATTACATGGATATACCATGATAAATTCTTTGAATTATATTTTCTTAAATCTATAATAGATGTCACTTTCAAATATTAATTATTTTTATTAAGTTTTATTTTTAAATCCGAATTTTTATTTATTAGCTATAATTTTTATTAGTTAAAAAAATAGTTCTTTTATTACAAAAGTAGTTTTGAAAAATAACTTTTAAATATTTATAAGTAAACACAAGTATAAATCTTAGTTTAAAAGTACAGATGGCGCTAAATCGAACCGACTGAATACGGCGGTAAACTTTAAAGCTTAAAATTATTCAATTTTATTAATAAATTCTTTATTTCCTTTAAATTATGTAATACGATATATGAAAACTGGTAAAAATTAGTAAATTGCAAAAATGAATTCTTTTTATGGAAATTACATAATTTTGAAAAAAAAATCGTCTAAAAATAACTTTTAAACGTCCGCACGTGAGCTCAAGTTCATTTTCGGTTTTGAATCGACGTCAAGGTGTGAATACACTACTTAGTAACTAAAAGGGTATATTTTTGGGTTAATTTTTGTAAAATCGTCATGGAAAAAAGTTTAATAAAAGAAGTAATCGAGCTGTATAAAGAAAATAAGTGGATGGATATTATCGATAAAAATCCGAATGTAACAAACGAAGAAGCCAGAAAATTACTTTGGGTTTGGCCTAGTTTCAAAAATTTAGAATTTATTAAAAAAAAATTGAACGAGTTTAATATGAACGGTATTTCATCGATTGGATGTGGATGCGGTTTGTTAGAATGGATCATTTCAAAATCAACAAGTAAGATATCATTTTCTTTAAGATTAATAATTACAATTTTGTTTAAGGATTAGAAGTTATTGGATATGAAATTAATGAGATATGGTGGACAAGTAAATATTGCATCCCTCAATTTATAAATTTAACTTACGTAGAAAACAATAATTACATACTCAAATCAAATTTAGCTTTGGTATTTTGTTATTTTAATGACTCAGAAGCTTTTAACGATTACGTAAATAATTACGAAGGAAATTTAATATTTATAATAGGCCCAGGAGAAGGAAGAGGAACACATACAGATCCATCACCATTTAAACCAAATTTTCAAACTAATAATTGGGTATTAAATGATTACCAAGAAATAAAAACGACAAAAGATTTTATAGCGGTTTATATTAGATATAATAATCTTATTTGTTAACAATAAATTAATGAATCAAGTTAATGTTGTATTATTATGCATTGTTGAAACGTGTGTTTTAAACATACTTTTATTGATAGTTCTAAACAAACACTCTGTACATGAATACAATAAATCTTGTTCTAATCCGGGATGTTTCGTTTTTAGATGAACTTTGTAAGTACTGCTTTGTATACAAGCATAATCGCAGTGAATACATTTATACGGCATTTCACCTGAATGCCTTAATTTGTGTCTTCTTAATGAATTATGATCAGCTGTTGTATATGAACATGTATCACATGCAAAAGGTTTTTCACCTATAAAAAAGGAAATATTTAATTAATAGTTATTTAAGTATTAAGGATGTAATGAAGGCGTTTGTGGCCCGTGGCGTGACATTAGGAAAAGTCAATTGAGGAGGGCCATGACATGCTAAGGGCCACAAATGCTAATTATGGCCACATACAAAATTTTATGTCCGGCCGAAGTTTTGAATTTTATAATAATTTAGGTAGATTCAATTTTAAAATAACGACACAAAAATCGAGAAGGTACAATAAGCCAGTTATAAACGACATAAACAAGGGTAGTCATTGTTAATTCAGCGCATGTTCAGTTTTTGTAGTGAAATATTTCATGGAAAAACTCTAGAAAAATGGAAATAACAGAGATATTATCTGTTGACGACGAAGGAGAAGTGGTCATTTCAGAAGAAATAGTTCAAACAGCCAAAATAGCTACCGAAAAAAATACAGAAATTTTATGGACTGGTCTCAAACTAAGAAAATCACAGGCAAGTGTTCTGAAGATGTTCTCGTTGACTATTTTTTGTAAAAATCAGAAAAATATTCAACAGCTTCTCTGTGGGCATTACTCAATGTTGAAGAGTATCCTTGTACAGTAATGAGCCGATTATTCGTGAACCATTTAACTGGGGTTCGGATTAATCGTGCTTGTGATCTACACCTAATTTTTTTTCGAAAAACATTCTATATTGTTACGTATACGAAAAAAGGCGAACATGGGAAAATATTGAATGATGCAAAGAGCATTTGAAAAATATAATGCTGAAGTGTTCTTTTCAGCAAAGCACAATACTTTGCAGAAAAGTTACAAATCACCCAAAGACTTACACTTTCAACAGGTTGGATGCGACGGTTTAAAGAAAGGCATGGAATTAGAGAATTAGAAATTCAAGGAGCACAGCTTAGTGCTGACGAAGTTGGGGCTACAACTTTTTGTGATGCTTTATCAAACGTTATTAAAGTAGGGGCCTTTATTGGCGTCGAATGCCCTTTCGTATATTAGTATCTGCTAAAGAAAAAAACTGTTCCTGGCTATAAAATTAGTAAAGATCGGATTATAGTGTTATGTTGCTCAATGCTATTCGAGAAGATAAGCTAAAATTAGCTGTAGTAGGGAAGTCAAAGTCGCCTAGAGGTTTAAAAGACATAAAAAAACTCCCAGTCAAATACTATAACAACCGTTCTGCGTCGATGACACGAGACATTTTTGAAATGTGGTTTAAAAATAAATTTGTTTCACATGTAAAAAAATATATGGACGGCAAAGGTTTCCCTCAAAAAGCAGTATTGCTTCTTGATAATGCGCCATCTCATCCGCCAGTTGAAACGGTTGTACAGAAAAAATTTAATGATGGATCTGGTCCATCATTTACAGTTTTGGAAATCGTATGCCTGGGAAAATGTGAAAGTTACCACAATTAAAAAATGTTTTAACAATATTTTGTGCGACGAATCAGCTGAAGAACATGAAATTGATAGTGATGAACCTTTAGATGTGTTTCAATCGTTAAAAATATTCAGGGCTATGAAGAACTGGATGACGAAAATATTCTGGAGTCGCTAAATATTGACTAGAATGTTTTAGATTGTGATACATGACCGACGATGATCTAGTCGATAATGTTACCAAACCAATCTTTGAATCGAGTTCACTTCAAGAATATAGAGACGATGACACTTTAGAACCACAATCAAAAGTCAGCTGCAAGGAAGCACTAAGAGTTGCTGAAACTCTTTTAAATTTTATGGAACAGCAAGATGATACCCACTAAACAGCTGGAGCCCACCTTATAGTGGGTTCCAGGTCACAGCAACATTGAGGGCAATGAGAAGGCCGACAAGCTGACCAAAGAGGCAGCAAACACGCCCTTCATTGGACCCCAACCTGGTTGTGAATTACAAAAAAGCCACCAAATAATCAACAACTGGAAGGTTTCAAAGATAGCCTTACGCTGGAAAGAACTGCCAGGTCACAGGCAAGCGAAGACTATGATAACTCCATCGCAAAACAAAACCAAAGAGATTTTATGCCTCAGCAAAGGGGATTTAAGAACGCTCTCAGGCTACCTGACCGGCCATGCGCCCCTAAAATACCACCTCTTCCATATTGGTCAAACTGAGGATCAAACTTGTCGACTATGCAACGACGAGTTAGAAACTGCTGAACATATACTGTGCAATTGCGTCGCCAGAGGCCGTCTAAGACACAACATTTTCGGTAAAACTCCCCTGTTACCTACCGACATAAAGGTTCAAGACCTCAGGACAATACTAAGGTTCATTAAGGACCTATATTTGCCCTAAACCTTTGGAGGGCTAAAGTTACAATAGATTTTATAGGTTGCGGTAACGAGAGGGGCCGCTCTCCTCAGCCTGGCAGCAATAATAATAATAATACAGGTGTTTCGGTGACTCGGGGAATAAATTTAACCACATATACTAGAGTTTTTTTTTGTGATATTATTGAATTCGGAGCCTAACATTTCTGCATTTAATACGAAGACGGTGGTTTTTATCAATATTCTCTAAGAGTGATAAAAGTTTCTAAACTAAATTTACTGTTAGAAACTACAAAAATAAATGTAGGGTTATGATAGAATAAAAAAGTTCTGAGAAAACAAATTTTAGGAATATCTGTATAGCTTTGTTCACGCGGACCGATCCAACTTAAAAATTGCCTAACGATTTTACGTGACATTGATTTGATGAAATTTCAGCGCTAAGTCTACTTTCTAAGTTTCAGATATTTAGAAAAATGTGTTAAAATTTCCTAACTTTGATGGCCGGTATCTTTAAAATTTGAGGACTTTTACTAATTTTTTTTACATGAATCGTAAATATGGTTAAATTTGTTCCCCGAGTCACCGAAACACCCTGTATAGACATTTTAAAAATTCGTACTTTTATAACAAATATTAAACAAAACATAATTAACCAGAAAAGAAAACAAGTAAAACTAACCGACTTTAAAAAAAATAATTAAGTGTTTTGTTATTAGTTTTCATTATTATTTTATTGTTTGTTATTATTATTTAGTTATATACAGTATGTTAATTAATTATCGTACCCACGTCATCATTGCAAGTATGCAACCAATATCGCAGTATGCAATACGCAAATCGCGTAGTTACTTTTACAGCTTTACAGCTGCAATGTACTGAATAAAAAACTCCCGACCGGACATAAATTATATTTATATGATTAACCAATGTATTAAATCATTATTTACCTGTGTGTTGTCTTGTATGCATTCTTAAAGCACTTTTAGTAGCCCCTTTATATCCACAATATGTACATAAAAACGGTTTAATTTTTTTGTGAACACTATCCGTGTGTACTCTTAATTGTCGTCGATTTGAAAAATATTTGGAACAGATCTCACACATAACACTATTATTTTTTTGGGTTTTTTGTTTATGTAAAGTTTTATGATTTCGTAATTGTTTCGAATTTTTAAACGCTCTTGGACATAAATTACAAATATACGGTTTGGCATCGTTGTGTATCAATTTATGGATATTATTTAATTTTCCCAAACTATACGTTTTATAATCGCATTTATCACAAGAAAATAATTCCATGTCGATTTTATGTTGGCGCCATAAATGTCCGGTGAGCGGTTTCCAAAATGCGAACGCCTCATTACATTCCGGACACTTGAATGTTGTATCACTATGACATTTTATGTGGTAATTTAATTTTTCCATGTTTTGTAAACGCACGTTACAACCGGATAGAGTACACCGGTGCAATTTTCGGTCTAAAAGTTTTGATATTGTCGAGGAATTACGTTTTTTAACGAAATTATTAAACATTTTTTCTGAATTACATGGTAATATATCAATTGTTGGTAAATTAACTACCAATGAAGTGTTTAAATTACTTAAATTATCTAACGTTTGACTTATATCTGGTAACGATTCGTTTGAATTATTTGGTAACTCTCCATTATTTAATTCATCACCTTCAATAATTTTTTCTGTATGTAAACTTGGAAGTTTATTATTAAATTTCGTATCAATTTCATTTTTACAATTTAAAGTCTCAGCTTTGCTATTAATAACAATTTCCAAATCTTTTCTGTTATTTGCTAACTTTTTAATTACATTTGTAACAATTTTAGTTAAATCTGAACTTAAAACCATATGATCGTTTATTAAATGAGCCTTTAAAGATAATTTTTGAAAAAATATGTTTTCACAACCAGGGCATTTATATTTAATAATCTTCATTGTTTCACCATTTTTATGTGCAGTTTCCATATGATCAGAAAGTCGTTTCTCTTGCAAACAAAAAAAAGGACATAGTGAACAAAAAAAATATGAATCATCTACATCTCTAGTTATTGCAGTTAAAACTGTAGCACCATCAATAGATTCTAATTGTTTTATATTTCTCTTTACCACAAAAAAATTTGTACTAGTTTGAAATTGTGGAAGCTTTTCGTTATCTTGTAAAACAATAAATTCCATGTTTTGACCAACTTCTAAATTGTGTAAACTTTTTTCTGCATCTAAATTTGTTAAAATTGAACTTGAACTTCCTATAACCGGCAAACATTCCTAGAAAACATAAAATGACATTAGTTAACCTAAAATCTTAAATTCAAATATATCTGTCAAAAAGACAGCCTTCAAAAACAATAGTCACCAACCTAAGAAAATATAATTTTTACAATTTAAACAAATTAATTCTTTTAAAATTATTAATATTATTCACATTACATACATCCGATGTTAATTGTGGTAACTCAACATTCCATATAACATTTCCAGTATTATTATTTCCAGTTAAATCAGTTTTCATCTCCACCGTTTGACAATCACTGATTCTACAAACATAAATCACACCCAAAACAAGGAGGTTAATCGCGATTTTTATTGTTCAAAAATATAATTCTTACCTTATCGTAGTCATTTTCGTGTATAAATCACAATATTTTCGAGAATAATGGCACAAAAAAGTAGAAAAGAATGAAAAGAGTCGAAGATAACCCTGCAGGAGGCTATGATATAATTTTGTGATTAATCGATGATATAACATTAAGGAAACGATAAAAAAGTGATTCGTTTGGTAAACTTACCTGTAATAATTTAAGAAAACAATAAAAATGCACAGTTTTAATGATTAGGGTCACATTTGTTGCTTTTATGAACGTATTGAAATTATGTCAACACCTTAAGGAGAGTACGTCAGTGGTTGTAAAAAAGTTTTTGGCGGGTGTTTTAAATTCTTCAAAAATACTTTTAAAATATTTCATAAAAAATAAACTCATTTATTATTAATTATAATCGAATCTTTATTTAAAAATATTCTTTGTTTGTAAAGATAAAAAAATAGCAATATAAATAAAAGCTTAGGTCATATTATTGTGTTAAATCTATCTTAACATTTTTAATTAATCTTTTCTTAATGCATAATAAACATCGTCTGAACTAACATTTAAAATAATTTTTTGATCATAATCGTTTGACTTTTGATCAGTTAACAACAATCGACAAGCACCTAGCCGAGAAATTGATCTCAAAACAACAGTTTGTGCCACCATTTGAAAACCATCTAAAGCTGCAATCGAAATTAGCATTGTATATATATCGCAAAATGTTGTTTCTTCAACACCCGTTCGTTCCACCTAAAAAAAGCGATTATTTCCCTAAATTTTTATAATATAATTTGTATTAACTTACTTCTGCAACAACCGCTTGTAAAATTAATTGTTGAATTCTTGAACAACATTTTATAGCTTGTACTTTCGGTTGTGTTATCATCGCATTTAAGGCTTTGTCCACATGAATCATTGAAACTAAAGTATTATTTCCTTCTAATTCGGCAAATTCCGCTGAACGTCGACAGATATCTAATGCTCTTCTTGCGTCACCGGAAATAGAAGCAACTTTACGCGCAACTAATTGTATTGCATCTGGATTAAAGGTATTGGTCCCGAGTAATCTTCTTGTAACGATTTCTTGAAGTTGTTTGTGAGTGTATGCTTGAAATGTTAATCGAGTTAAACCTAATCGACTAGTAACCCTTCCCATCAATAATCGTTCTGGTAAATCCATTGTATTAGCTATTGTAATCACTATCAATTGAGCTTTAGATTTTGTTGGCCAATCTAATAAATTATAAACAACATCTTGACGTTTTGTACATAAAATATCTAATTCATCGACTAATAAAACGATTGGTTTGTTTTTGTTGCCATTTTTTGTAAATTTTGTGTCTAATATTGATTGGGCTTGTTCCCAACGAACTGATTTTCCAGTTAATTGTCTTAAAATCTACCAAAAGAAAAGTAAGATTATATTAGCATAACCTAAAGAGAAGCAAGAAGGGAAGAGCCAGTGGAGGGATAATAACAGAAATTGCAAAGGAGTTGGAGGAGAAGACCGAAAGGGCGAAGGAGTAGAGGAATAGGGGGATGGTAAAGAGACAGGTCAAATTGGGGGGCCAGACGATACAGATAATCACTGTGTACAATAGATCAATGAAGGAAGCCGTACAGCAATGGGAGGAAATGGCAATGGAGGGGACTTCAATGCAATAGTGGAGGAAAGGGGGGACGAGAGGAGCTTTGGGAGTTGGAGGGGACACGACGGTCGAAGCATAAGGTACAAAACGGATCAATATAGGGAAGCAAGAAACAAGTATAAAGAAACATAGGAAGAGGAAGGCGGACGAGATTAGATTGGTGAATCCTTCCCCTTTTCTTTACTCTCTGGAGTAAGGAAAGGCGGGTAGAGAAGTTGGTAAGGGGGGGAACAAGGAGAAGTTGAGATAACAAAGAAGGAAGTGGAGACAGTATTGGGGGGATTGAAGAGGAAAAAGGCACCTGGAGAAATGGGGTCCAAAACGAGGCATGGGTGAAGGCACCGGTGGAGGTGAGGGAGAGGTTGCGGATGGCGTTGAGCAAGGTATGGAAGGGAAAAGGGTTGCCGAAGAGGCTGTCAATTTTTGACATTTAAAGCTGCCAACGTCGTTATGTCGGCGCCTACTTTGATTGTAATTTGCTGATTTAATATTTTCAGAGAACGCATTCTTTCTCGATTTTTTTCTTATACAACCATAGGATTTGATATGTTCATCGCGTAAAGGGATTTATCCTCTATCAAAACATGAAAAAAAACATATGCATCCCATTTAAAATAACAATGTTGGTTGCCATAGCAACGAAACAAAAAACCATACAAACAATGAGCCACAATTAATAAAGAAACTTGTATTTGAAACATTTTTCTTTAAAACTACAAATAGCGAAGTTATTGAAATACCTGGTGGATACAGAATTGGATCGAAAGGGAGGGAAGCTTTATACTTTAAAGGCGCCGTTTGATAGAGTAAATAGAGAGGAATTATTTGAGGAGATGGAGAGAAGATAGATATCGGGAAGAATATTGACAGAGTGAGAGGTATACGTGAAGACGGTAGCCAGAATAGAGGTACGAGAAGATCTTAGCGAGCGGTTTTGGACGAAAAAGGGATTGAGGCAGGGATGTACGCTTAGTCTCGTCTTCTTTGCTTTGTACACTGCAGACATAAAAGACAGATAGGCCGGGGGACAGATGGAAGGGGTGGTGATCGGAAGGAGGAAGGTGCACGTACTGGTATATGCCGACGAACTGGTAGCGATCGCGAGGGAGGCAGGTGAGATGAGGGCAATGATGCGGTCGCTGGAAAGGTATTTTAGCCGGAAGAATTTGGAGGCGAACGTAGACAAAACAAAAATGATGAAGTTCTGTAAAGGGGGTCAAAGGAAGACTGGAGATGGGAGGGGAGGGTGATCGAGGAAGTAAGGGAGTACACATACTTGGGGTACAGATTTAAAAAGAACAATAGGGAAGGAGGTCATATTAGAATGTTGGCTGCGAGAGCAAATATGGTTATGCGACAGGTTTGGGGATGGGGTGAGAGGATTTTTGGGAAAGATGTTGGAAAACGTAAATTAATGTTTAAGAGATTGATAAAAAACGTAATGATGTATGGGGTGGAGATATGGGGATGGAAGGAGCAAGGGTTCTTAGAGGATGTGCAGACCAGGCACTGGAGGTGGGTGTTGGGGTTGGCTAGGGAGACTTTGGGATATATGTATAGTCAGGGAAGAAATGAAGGTGAAGATAAGGTAAGAGTGGAAAGCGTGCGGTGCGTTTTGAGGTAGAGGGCATTGTAAACTCTTGGGGAGTGCTACAGACGGATTGAGACAAGTAAGGGGCGTTATGGGCAGCGAGAAAGGGAGGAATACTGCAGAAGGGTGGGGTATTCAACAAAAGAAGTGAACAGGAAAAGCAAAGAGAGGATTGAGATGTGGAAACAACTGGAGAGCAGGGACAAGGGATGGGGCGAGGTGGTGACAGCAAGGAAATGTAAGGAGGCTGGGAAAAGGGGTAGGATTTTGATTAGTTATAGATAATGTTGTTCTTTTTTGTAATATTGTAATGTTCTGAAGACAATAAATTACTATTATTATATTACCATAACCTAAAAATAAATTTACCTCAACATAAGATTGTCTAGGTTCACTTAATTTCATCCCATTAATGCTAACAAATTCAAATCCAGGTACACAACGTAATTGAACCTGTGAATGAAGTTTTTTTATCACTTCTGTAACAGTCGCCGTTTTTCCAGTTCCAGGCACTCCCGAAATATACATACATCTAAAATAAAAAAAATTTAAATTTTCACATAAAAATAACATAACAACGAAATTACCCTCCACATCCATCTAATAATTTCCCTTCAACAAAATTATAAACATCATTAAACTCCTTTTCTCTACCAACTAAAACTTCAGGAACATAAGAAACATGCAATTTAGTTTTAGCCATGTTTAAAGGAGTTTTATCAATTTTAATCGGCGTCGCTCTACTTTGAACTGAAGGTGTAATCATTCCGTCTCGTATTAATTTCGCGCGACTACCAGGAGTTTTTTGTACACTCTTTGGAGTTGTTGCCATATTTTTATTGGGCGTTTTATTAGGAGTTTTTAAAGATGCGATATTTTGTTTCTTTTTCTTTGGTGCTTCATCTAAGGAATCTATCGAAGAATCAGATTCATCATCATAATAAACACTTTTTTTCGGAGTTGCAACGCTATTCGTTAATGATTGTTTTAAAATCGATTTTTTTAAAAGTGGCGAAGAAATGTAATCGTTATATTTAACAGGTGTTGCTGTTTTTCGTTTACTCGGAGTTACTTCTTCATGTTTTTCATCAATTATTGGATTTTCTTTGGTTGAATTTCTAGTTTTTCTTGCACTTAATGTGATTTTTAATGGATTTTGATAGTTTGATTTTGTTGTATAAACAATGTCTTGGGTGTCTTGAATGGAACTTCGTGTTGTTCTTGACAATCTTGATATTTTTTTAGGTGATACATCTTTTTCTTCATAATTTACTTTTCGTTTAGAAGGTGTTAAATTAATTTCTTCGTCTGTTATTGAAATGACATCGTCAGTGCTTTTTTTTCTACCCCTTCTTGGTGGTGTATTAATCATTTCAACATAAGAAACTCTTTGTTTTGATCTTGTAGATCTTCTAACTGAAGTTTCAACTTCATTAGTTTTAGTTATATATTTATTAATTTCACTATCATTAAGTTTATCTAGAGCAACAATCGGTTGATTTTTCGATAAACGTAATTTAATTTTAAGGTTAGTATCAAAATTATCCTCCACCAAAGAATAATTTAATGTGGGTGTTCCTTCTTGCGAACTCGCTCCATCAAAAGACTCATTTAAATTCCTGCAAACATTTAACTTTTTGGGCGTTAAAAACGCTTCAGATATTCGTACACGCTTCATTCTATCACAAACATATGGAATTTCTTTATATTTTGAAGTAACGGAACAATTTGGAGTGAGTACTTTATTAAATTGATTCAATACATTTGTGTGTTTAATAGCTTCCGATGAAAATATTGAAATAAGTTTGTGATTTAATAACTTATAACGAAGAATATAAGTTCCCGGAATTATATCATCAAAAAAATCATCCTCTGTTGCAAGAATAACATTGCATTTTCCTTTAATTTCAAGCAACATCACATCTTTTTTAACATCATCCTCAATCACCTCGTTTTCAATAAACTTTTTATCGCTTTTTATACACAAATCATCACCAAATCGGTAAATTCTTAAAACTCCATAAAAACAATTTTTAACTTCTCGAGTCTCGTAAGCACACAACAACCTTCCTATGACGGTTTCGTTAGAAGCTTTTACGTACACGTAATCACCTAATTTATAACTTTCGTTATTTAATATAAAAGAGCTGAAACATTTTCAAAGTAAGTTAAAAAATGCTGACCAAGATTGAAATAAAAAAATACTTACGTGTACGAAATGCAGGTTTTTGGATCTAAATTTAAAGATTCAAAATCGTATTGTTTCGTGGGGGAACTTTTCCATTGGAAAAATGAGTTTTTGTAAGACATTTTTGTAGACAAAAAATTAAAAGGAGACGTTTGTAAGGAATAAGTAACCTAAAAATGAAACTTTGGCGCGGAATTTAGGGTGTTCGCTTGTGGTTGGCAGCATTGCAGTAAATGAGAAACGATTATTAGTTTTTAATGAGAAAATAATATTAAATTGAATTATTTTTATACTTAATTTAATTAGTTACAACAAACAACAGCTTAAAAATTGATATTTATTTTTTATACACAAAAAATAACGCACATTATTTTTTTTTAAACAAAATTTTTCTTCAACAGATGGAGCTACAATAGATTTTTGTTATTGACAGAAAAAACCGTATTCGAACTGGTCGCAAAATTGTGCATATTTTTGTGTAGATAACTGCTGTTATAGAAGATTTTAGTCGTGTTTTGTCACAATTTTGGTTGTTAAGCACTGGTGTGTTGAAAAATCTTCAAAGTTGAAAAGTCAAAATTATTATAAAAATTGCGGAAAATTTGAAGTGGGTAGAAAGTCAACCGAACTTTCAAATGAACAAAGAAAAATAATAATAAAATTGCAGATAAAACGAAAATCTTTGCTTGAAATCGTAAAAATAATGAAGCACCTCTGCTACACAATATGTGGTGCGGAATTATAAAACCACAGGTGAAGCAAACAAAGTATTAGGAAATATAAATTGATCGAAGCTAACAAAAAGAAATCATTCATTCCTACGTCCTAAATTCCTAAGTATCTTACCGTAGGTGGCACAGAACAGATATAAAGGTATAAATAGGTAAGTGGTGTGGAACTGGTTACAACAGTCCTATATTTGACTGGCTACGCCAAACACCTGTTCTTTGGGGTTCATGTTAACCTTCAATAGCGCGAAATTATATTAAACACTTGGTCAAATATAATATTTTAATGTTTAAAAAATCTTAATATAATTCAAAATTACCATGCAAGGTCACAAATTTGAAAAAAAAAGTTGGGATTTGCCACACAATAAACATTAATCTATCGTTCAAGTAATAAATATTCAAATCTTACCTTAAATTAACTACTAAAACTAACAAAAAATCACAAACAGCAATTTATCTTAATTAATAAAAATTATACTTTTAAGGTTATAACGAAATCGTGACGTTATGAATGTTGTGGTGTTCGGTTACCATGACAACGGTATTAAAAACGCGTTTGATTGGTTTAAAAAACGCGGGCATTATAAATGTGAACGGTTGCTATGACAACGATGAAATTCACGCCGTTGATTATAGATGGCGCCTCAAAACGTAAACAAATTTGGGTTTGTTTTTTTAGGTTAGGACATAGAAAAAAGTTGTTTTCGAATAAATTATGTACTCAACAAGATTTTACTAGGAAACAATTAACGGAGCTTTTAGGTTATCAAGATTTAAGAGACGGAGACGTTATTTCCCAGCAAGTAGAAGTAAATCATCGGAAATACCAGTAGGTATTTCTATATCTTTCTGGTGAAGATTCGGGGGGCATCATGTAAGATAATTTGTGGGCATGCTGTTAGAAAATCATTCATAACTATAATTAACAAACGAAAACGGTATGGATATAAATCCTGCGGGAGAAATTTGAATTATCTTTTAAATTTGAAATTTAAATGTCAAAATTAATTTTATTTATTTATTTTCATTATATTTGTATACAAAATCACACTATACAGAACACAATGATTAAAACATTGTACACTACGTAAAAACGATCGAATCTAAATTGTTTTAATTCACGTCAACTTGCCCTGATTGTCTGGTACCAAACAAAAACGGCTATGGTATCCAAAAATTAATACTGAAACACCTAGAGAAAATTGTGATTTTCTCACACACGTAGATGTATATTATTCATTATATATATTTTTTCGGAATTTTGGCAGTACATTTTCATTAGAAACTATCTTCTGGTTTGTTTTCTTTCTACGATACAGAGTGATTTACAAAATCTACAAAGGGAACGATAGATAAAAACTGATTACTGTGAGGTATATTTTCTCATTCTGAATCTACTTTTATTTGTTTTTCCATAAATCACCCTGTGTACAACGTGGATCGACGTCCAGATTCTTTTCTTTTTAAATTGCAAGAATATCAATGATCTTTATTTTTTTTCGTATTTAACAATTTAGCAATCTATAAATTATCAACACAACTATATCTTTTATAAAATTATTTATATTATTATTATTAGTTTATATTTGTGCATAAAAAGTTCGTTTTTTTATTTAAATCTTTATCTTGCCCTCGAAATATTACTTATTCTGTTGAACACTTGCAAAAATTGTTTCAATTGATTAGAAGACTGTATTCTAATTCATAATCTAAAAAACTAAAACCTGAATCGACGATTTATCATTGATTCCATCTAAATGTAGTGAGTTTGTGTTGTTTCTGTGCATTTTCTAACAGTGCCATAAAATCGTTAACAATCAATAATTGTATTAAAGCTTTCAAGTACATAATATCTATCGAGGAATATTTAATTATACGAGTTTAAGAGTCTTTTCTCCTGTGCAACATAACTTTAAACTTAATTTTCTTCTTTTATATTGAATATAGTATTGAAATAAAATTTGATGGAATCAATGAAGTTTGCATTTTCTTAATAGGACCGTTAATTATTATATCAAAACATTTCTATCATCTTTTTTTATAACCTAAGAATCTCAAACAACTTTTTTTACTAAGAAAAATAGATTTACCATTTCCTTTTTCTCTACATTCGCGTTGACAATACAATTTACAATTTTTTTTTATTATTTCGTTTTCAATTTCTCATCCATTATACAATGCTTTTTTGTATGACAATGATTATATTATTACAAATTACAATAATAAAGAAGTACACTTTATACAGGTGTTTATTTTTTAATCCCCTACGGCGTTATTACTTTGACACTATCAATTCCAAGTATTTATGTATTAAATAAATTCTTCTATATCCAATTAATTAATTAATTAATTAAGAGACAAGCTTAAAAAATAAACACCTGTACATACAGGAAATTATTGAATTAAGTGCATATGTTTGTATGTAGAGCATATCTTAATTATGTTTTTACTTTTTCTTTGTGTTTGGGAACATGATTATTTAAGTTTATTCAGATCAATGATATTAGGTGTTTTTATAAAACTGTGATAAAATAATTTAAAACTTTAATAACAACAACATAATTAAACAACCATCATTAATCCTTTAACGAACGTTTAAAATAATTATTAAAAAATCTGTTTTATTGTAATTTTATTATCTAATTCATCTTAAAAATCTTTTAAAACAGACTCAAACACATCAATTTAAAACAAACTCAAACAGATCAATCTGTCTCAAATGGGACTGAGAAGTCCCCCTAGACCTACTAGTTCAGTTCTTAGATCTCTGACTCAGGAAAGATTTGTCCTGAATATGGGGCTGAGAATATAATAAAAAAAAGTCCCATACATAACGAAGAAAAAACACAAGAATAAAAACAGTATTAATTTAACTTAATTATTTGTGTTTGGACATATTTTAAAAGATTTATAAGATGAAACTGACTGTAAAGTTTAAAAAACTGACGTTAAAGAATTATACAAAAAAAAAATCATTAAAATAAAACTAATATCTTTCTGTGGAGTCTATATACATTTTTCTTTTTATGTTAGTATTGTTAGGAAGTGAAAGAGATATGTATTTCTCGGAATTGAATTGAAAACACTCATTTTTTTGTTAAGGATTTGAAATGGGGTGTTCGGAAGGTTTTTCCATTAATCCGAAGACACAATTATTACTTATTTTTTCTTTTCGAATTCATTAAGCACTTGAAGCTGCTGCCGTTATCGTCCATTGCAGACACAGACACAATAGGCGACCGATCCGAAGGCTAACTATCGTTAGGTCACTACTGGTTCTAACCGAGTACTATCATACGTTCCTATACTGATCCACACTTTTCGAAGAGCACGGTTGCACGTCGTCCAAATAACTAGAGGAGTCGTGTTGTTGCCTCGACGTTGACGCCACCGCCGCCGGGTATCTTACAATCGGTTTGTAATTGTGTGTCGTTTGATTAACTTGTCGATGATTATCTGATTCTTGAGACGTCGAAGGCCTTCGTTCTTGTAATGTTAAACTAGGGTCTTCTGCAACAGGTTCGTATGGACCTTTTGTCCATTTTTGGATGAGCGCTATTATTAATGATTCCAGACAACAAACATATCCCAAACACTAAAAATTTTGTTTCAACAAACTTGTGGTTATTTATCAAACAATTTTTTACCCCAGTTATTAATAATTGTTGATGAGTCCATTTGGGTACCCATGTTAAGGCCCCAGAAAGGAATATTGCATGGAAGATCAATGATGAGACTATAAGGAACGATACACTAAGGCATAAATATAAATATGTATTCTAAAAATGAAGAAAGGAATTATTATTTTATTGAACATGTAATACTTAACTTACCACTTTTCCCCAATTAAACGGGAACAAATACACCATTTGTGAAATATCAAGGAACAGTAGAACACATGTTACAAATATACTGAGCAGGGTAACGAACATCATCAATCGCAACCTTCCGGCTAAGGGTAACATAAAGAGACCTACCTTAACCGTACCGGATGTACAAAGACACGCTAAACAAGCCACTGTTGTGATCTAAAATCACAACAATAAAAAATGTATAAAAAATAAGTCAATTTGATTTATACAATTTTTACATACAACTAATAAAACTTTAACAACTCCGGTAGGTGTCTTGAGATGTTTGTGGTCACAATAAACGATAACGCCTGAATAAAGGGAGATGTCGGGGGAAGCGGGACGCCTACGGTAGTGAGAGTGCGAGTCCCAGGAGTTGATGGTGCCAAGGGGTGTTTCGCACTCGCATCCGCCAGCGGCGCAATCAGCACTCAGTGCTCCCGTCCTGCTGCCCGCTATCTCAAAATCCTGCAACACAGAACTCATGCCATCCCCGGCCTGCAACAACACGGACATGGAACACACACTTAGTGCCATCGATCTCTCATCATACACCACTTCCATACACGACCCCCAAAAGAAAAAAAAAATATTTCACTACCTGTACTTATTTATAACTTTATTTTATTTCGTGCTTTTCTGTAAATACAACCAAAAAATAAATAAAGATCTGAACATGGTAATAAAATAATACATACCTTGAAGGAGTTTGGCAAAGATATAAATCAAATAAAATAAAAAAACTTTAAAAAATTTTATTAAAATAAAACAACCTAAAAAATACATTTGAAAGCATGCAAAAATAACATTCAAGCATAATTTTAATGACTAGAAATATGTACAGTGTGTTAATTAATTATCGTACCCGCCGTCATTATTGTAAGTATGCAACCAATATCACAAATCGTATTTGCAATCACCTATACTGTGATATTGGTTGCATACTTGCAATGATGACGTCGGGTACATTAATTAATTAACACACTGTATTTCCATGCAATTAATCTAAAACGACCCACATTTTACACATTGGTGCACCTATTTTCTGATATTTATGAAACAACTATGCTAATTATACCTGGATGTCTTCCACTTTACAACTTTGAGGCTCCAGTTCTGTGATGTCTTGCAGTAACAGTTCGATTTCGTCGTCTCCGTACAAATCAGATACCGAGTTGATGTATCTGCTTGTATCAGACTGCATGACCCACCAACACTACCACTTCATCCCATTCGCCCGTCCCCAATCCATAGTGCCCATACACCAAGGGTTCAAGTTCGAGATTATAACCTATAAAAAAAAATAATAAAAAATTTAAATTAATTTCATAAAAGTAATTTAGTTAAAAAATTGTATTAACCTACTTGAAATAAAGGGAGAATTTGAGTTATGAATTATTTATTTCTATTCGAATACAAATAACTACTGACCTACTGTTGGAGAGAGGGTCTTAAAAGTCAATTATTAGAAAATCGACTTGAAACGGTGGGGGGATGAATGAATATTTATAAATTCGTACCTACAGAATTTTTGATGAGGTCTTAAATGTTGTATTTACTCGTTGTCCTCAACCAAAAAAATTAAAACCCACTTATCATAAACGCATTTTTTTTATCTAGTTATCGCAGACGCCAAAAACACTGCGCCATGTTTACATTCACTGAAATGACGTGAGGTGAATTATTTGTCAATTACAATTTTTCGTTACACGCCAAGGGAATACCTTTTATCGGATCGTATTATTTATTTAAACGATCGTTAAATTACGGAATATGAATCGAAATTTATTTTCAAAAATTTAGTTTCTTATACATTTTTGGTTATTTTAATTTTTTTTTTTATAAAATCACTTCTGATATTCGCTAGAGGGCGGAACCGTCATTCAATTTGTAAATCATATTTTTGTTGGGTTTTATTTCAAATTATTATCATACAACCCAAAAAATATGTTTTTTTAATACTAAAGAAATTAATTTATACATAAGTGAGAAATAATTTATATCAATAAAAATATCAAGTATTAAGTAAATTTAAAACGGAGCCAACTTCACAATAAAATGTCAAATTAATTTTAAATCAGTAAAGATAAGTTACGTTAATGTTATAATATAATACTTTTCACAAATTAAAGTATTTTACCCAAACATCGTATTTAAACTCCAAGTTATATTAATAGTTTAAAATCACAACAATTTAATTGTCATTTAAATCGCAACCAATCACACACTAATTGTCAAATGTCAAGTGACAGTTGTTTATAGGTTAGATTAAATTGTCTACGAAAGTAAAAACTTTGATGAACTAATTTAATTTTTGTAAACAAACTAATTCATCTCACTAATAAAAATGTCGGAAAAAGATTTTGCGCCGTTAAGTTTAGCGTGCGTGAAAGCGCTACATGACAAACTCTACGAGAAAAGAAAATTTGCAGCCTTAGAAGTCGAAAAGTAATTAGAAAAAAGCCTCTTAAAATGATTCGTTACTTTGTTAATTTTTTAGAATGGTGAAAGAGTTTATACTTACTAAAAACACAATTCAAATCAAACGAATATTAAAAGTTTTACAAGATTTTGCAACGTCACAAAATCCGAATGCTAAAAAAGGTGGTTTAATCGGTCTTGCAGCTTGTTCAATTGCGCTAGGAAAGGTAAAGATTATTTTAATTTTTTTATAATCGCCAGGGAGATTTTTAGGCATCAATTTTTTATAGGTTTCCGCTGACTATACAGATGAACTTATAAAACCAATTTTAGCTTGTTTTTCCGATGCCGATTTAAGAGTTAGATATTACGCTTGTGAATCACTTTATAATGTAGTTAAAGTTGCAAGAGGGGCTGTTCTCCCACATTTTGCTGCAATTTTTAATGCCTTATGTAAAATATCTACAGATCCTGAGCAAGATGTAAAAAACGCTTCTGAATTATTAGATAAATTATTAAAGGTAATGTAAATACTAAAATTTTTTATATTATTGTTATTAATAGATACTATTTTTGTAGGATATTGTAACTGAGAGTAATTCATTTGATTTGGATGGTTTTATGCCATTGCTTCGCGAACGAATTTATACAAAAAAATCTTTTGCTAGGCAATTTGTTATATCATGGATTTCTGTATTGGATGCTGTTCCAGATATAGATCTAGTTATTTATTTACCGGAAATGTTAGATGGGTTATTTAGGATATTAGAAGATCCAGTACTTGAAGTTAAAAAAATGTGTGATACGGTATTGGGAGAATTTTTACGTAGCATCAAACAGAATCCTAGTAGAGTAGATTTTGGTAGTATGATTAATATTTTAATTGAACATGCACAAGATAAAAGTGATAATATTGTACAGGTAATTTTAAAGTTTTGAAAATGGTTTCTAATAATCCTAAAAACTAATTTTATTTTTAGTACACTGCAATAACATGGATTAAAGAGTTTGTACAATTATCTGGAGTTTTAATGTTGCCTCATATGTCTGGAATATTTATGGCGGTTTTACCTTGTTTAGCTTATGAATCGGACGATCGTAAAAGTATCCTTGTTTTTTTATTCTTTAAAACATACGCTGCATGCACATAATTTAAACAAATAATGCACTGCTTCAATTAAATATTTTTGCATGATTGAAACCTCTTTTTCTCTCCTTAATCCAGTAACAGATATCAAAGAAACTGCTGAGGCTGTAAATTACATTATGGAAAAATTGGTTTCACTTCAAGAGGAGAAAGTTAAACAACAAACTGAAATTCAAGAGAGTGAGTTTTTTTAATAAAATAAATAATTTTTGATTTATTAATGTGTTTTAAGGTGAAGATCGTAAAATTTATGAATTAAATTTACCAAAAGTAGTTGAAGTTTTAACAGATTATTTGTTGCATAATTCTGTTCAAACAAAAGTGGCTGTTTTGAAGTGGATACTGCATTTGTATAAAAAATTACCTCATAAAGTAAAAAATACATAATCATATTAATTATTATTTAAATTTTTTTTTATTGTTTTTAGATGTATGAGTTTATAGATATTTTATTTCCTGTTCTTCAAAAAACACTTTCTGATCCAGCTGATGAAGTTGTACAACAATGTTTAGCTGTTATTTCCGAAGTAATATCAACGCCAACAGAAACCAAAGGTAATTTTTTTATTTTACCTTAAAAATTAATACTAATTTTTCTGTTTTTGTTTTAGATCCCAGTCCATATTATTCCAAATTTGTAATAACTTTATTACAATCATTTAGCTCAAATAGTGCCCTTTTAGAAGAAAAGGGATCATTTATTATAAGGTTTTTTCCAAGTTATTTAGACACATCTTATTTGACTTAATTTATTTATTTATTTGTAGACAATTATGTGTTTTATTAAACGCTGAAGATATTTATCGAACTTTAGCTCAAATTTTACTTATTGAATCTAACTTAAAGTTTGCAAGTTTAATGGTTGAACAACTTAATTTTATATTACTTACATCATCAGAGTTATTTGAATTAAGAACTAAACTTAAAAATTTAGATTCTCAGGTTTGATTATTTCTTTTATACAGGTGTTTCTAAATTGATGTGAAATATTTTAAAGGCATATTGAGCTGTTCTGTACTCTCATTCATGCATTAACCTTACTGATATCCTTTCTATTTGCGGTCCAGCTTTCTCTGCCATAGATATGCAGAATCAAACGCAGAGTGTTTGATGAGTTGCCAAGATAAGAGGTTTGGAAAGCACTACAGAAGAAAGGGACACCCCACAACCTCAAAATAATAATTTGAAATTGAAACAAATTTTATTTAAAACATTTTTTTAATAAAAATAATAATTGTTGAGATAATTCATTTTGATAGCATACTATTCAGAGGGAAATTAAAATTTCAAATTAGCAAAAAATTGTATTAACAAACACTGTTCCTGAAGTAATTCTAAACAAATTTTGTTAACAACATTTTTTGATTAAATCAACAATAAGGATATAACCTCAAAAATATTAATTTTTGTAGCATACTGTTCAGTGGGAAATTAAAATTTCAACTTAGAAAAAAATTATGTTAACAAAAATTGTTCCTGAAACAATTCTAAACAAACTTTGTCAACAATTCTTTTTTAATTTAATCAATAATTAAGGAGATAACCTCAAAATAATAATTTTTCCGTTTTTATACATAATTATACTTAGATGCTTAATTAATAGAGATGTAAATTTTTTTATTAAGATAATTGATTCAAAATCGAAATTGAAACAAATTTTATTTAAAACATTTTTTAATAAAAACAATAATTGTTGAGATAATTAATTTTGATAGCATACTATTCAGAGGGAAATTAAAATTTCAAATTAGCAAAAAATTGTATTAACAAACACTGTTCCTGAAGAAATTCTAAACAAATTTTGTTAACAAAATTTTTTGATTAAATCAACAATAAGGATAGAACCTCAAAAATATTAATTTTTGTAGCATACTGTTCAGTGGGAAATTAAAATTTCAAGTTAGAAAAAAATTGTGTTAACAAAAATTGTTTCTGAAACAATTCTAAACAAACTTTGTCAACAATTTTTTTTGATTTAATCAATAATTAAGGAGGTAACCTTAAAATAATATGATATATGCAGATGATGTAGGAAATTGTAACAGGCTGTACTTCAGTGGTCAGAAATTCTAAAGGAGTGGGGCATAGTGTTGAACAAAGTGAAGAGTCAAGTTATCCCCATTGAATGTGATGGTCAAAGGGTCTCCCTACCCAGATCAAAAACAATTTTCCCTTAACTTTAGAGGGTTGTAATTTGGAAGTTTTGAACAAAAAATAATTTTTTACTAAAATCACACCTTAAAATCTTTCGCATCAATTTAGAAACACTACATTTTTCTATATTTATTAAATTAATGATTCTTACATTTTTGTTTGTAGGAAAGCTGTTCATTATTTTGTTGTTTATACAAAACTTGGTGTCATAATCCAGTTGCAACAGTGGCCCTTTGCTTTTTATCGCAATGTTATAATCATGTTTGTGATCTTATAATGTTATTGTATCCTTTAAAATTAAAACTAATGTTTAATAATTGGTATAAATTCTTAATATATTTATAGTGGTGATTTAGAAGTGACAAAAAATTTATTATCAGAAATTGATAAATTAGTACGATTAATAGAATCTCCAATTTTTGCTTGTATGTTAAAAAAAAAATAATACACCATATATTAAACACTTAATATCTTTTTAGATTTACGTTTGGAATTACTAAAAGTTCCAGCTGATGAATGTCTCGTACGAGCACTTTACGGTTTATTAATGCTTTTACCGCAAACAGAAGCGTTTCAAATTTTACAAACACGACTCTCTTGCATTCCTAGTTTACATTTACACTGTGACCAAAGGTAAACTGAAATTTAATTTATTAAAACCTTTTTATGACTTTATTTTTTTTAGAAACCAAGCGGAACTTAAACCTGTACCTGAAAGAATGCAACACATAGATTTTCCGGAACTTTTGAAACATTTTAAAATCGTCCAAAATAATCATAAGAATTTTAAAAAAGGACAGCGCACTAAAGAATTATCTGCGAATAACGAAAAAATTGTTGAATTGTGAAAAATAATGTATACATTTTTAGCGAGATCCAAAATCAATTTGATAAAAAAGTTTATATTAGTTTATTAATTTTTTGCCAATATAAGATTACAAAAAAAACTAATTATTTTAGATCTCGTAATATATCTTATTTATACACAGTATTTCATGTACATTTATAGGAAATATAAATATTATATATAAATAAATTTATACAACATTAAGTCATTTAATTTTATTTGATTATAAACTGTGTTAAACCACTTTACGAATAAGTTCTAAATTTATTTTACGACTTGATACGTTAACAAAAATAACTTTAACTTCAAGGATATCACCAATCCCAACTTTTTCACCATTAAGTTTAGTACAATGAAGTAATGCTCTAGATTCAACTCCGATATCTATGAATGCGCCAAAATGTGTATTATTTATAACGCGTCCTTTTAAAACGAGTCCAGTTTGTAAATCATTAATACTTGTTAATCCTTTTTTGAAAAATGGCACTTTGGCTGTTTCATCTCTCATATCATAATCAAAACGTTTAGATAAAGCTTCTAAAATTAATCTTAATGTGTGCTCAGAAGTTTTATAATCTTGAGCTAAATCAAAGTATTTAAAATCTCTTTTAATATCTTCGATTTGTTTGATGAAATTTTCAGTTCCTATATCGTTTAATTTTAACTTATATTTATTTAATAAGTCTATAGTTATTTTATAAGACTCTGGATGAATTATTGTCATATCTAAATGATTTGTTTTTGGGTTTTTATAAAATGATTTTCGATCTTTCTCTGAAAGCGGTGCTACTTTTAAAAATCCAGCGCATTGTTCAAAACATTTCGGTCCAATTCCTTTTATTTCAGTGATTTGTTTTCGATTAATAAATGGCCCATTTTCTTTACGATAATCAAGTATTAATTGGGCTTTCTTTTCTGATAAACCAGAAACTCTTTTTAATAAGCAATCTGAACATGTATTGACATCCACACCAACAAAACTAACACATTCGGATATTACTTCTTCCAAAGCATTATCAAGCAACTTCTTTGATAAATCATGTTGATACATTCCTACTCCAATGTGTTTTGGATCGACTTTTACATATTCCGCCAAAGGATCTTGTACTCTTCGAGCAATTGAAACTAAATATATGAATAATATATAAATATGTAAAAATAAGATTAAAAATAAAAAAAATACCGGCGCTTATTATGTTTGGATCAAGATTAGGAAATTCTTTTTTAGCTTCATTGCTACAAGAATAAATTGAGGCCCCATTTTCATTAACTATTGTATATTGTATGTTTAATGGATTAAAAAAATTCTTTTCTATTAATTTTGAAAGCCATGCTTCTGTTTCTCGACAACCTGTACCATTTCCTAATGCTATTAATGAACAACTACAATAAAAAGAAGGTAAAAATAATATTATTACTGTTTTTACACTAATTTTTTGTATAAAAACAGAATTGAGTGTATTAAAATTGTTTTTGAACCTGTGTTTTACTAATAAATCCTTTAATTTTGATTCTTCTTTATGTCCAGTTTGTCCTTTAAAAGGAAATAAAGTACAAAAATCCAATAATGATCCATCAATTCCAATAATGCCAAGTTTACATCCATGAGTAAACCCAGGATCAATTCCAGCAATTACACTTCCTTTAACAGATTTCATAAGAAGTAATTCTTTAAGATTATCACAAAAAACGTTCAAAGAAGCTTTAGATGCTACAGTTTTTAATTCTAAACGAACTTCTCTTATCAGCAATGGTTGAACTAAAATTATTTGAAAAATTAATTTTGTTGAAAAATTTTCTTTGAACTTATTTTATTACTTAATCTTTTGTAGCAATCATTTAATGCTTTTTTAAAAATCGTTTTTTTAACTGAGGATGATGTTATATATTGGCCAAATATATCCCAACAACATTTATTGAATTTGTTTGTAATATAATCAGGTACTAATATTTTCATTGAAAGAATTTTGTTCTGTTCACCACGGTTAATTGCTAAAATCTAATAAAAATAAATTTCAATCACTCTACATGTTATTACTATGTTTTACTTGATGTGGTTTAATATACTTTGAACACGAATTAAATTCATAATAATGTTCAAATTTTTCATTTTCATTAGATTTCTTCTCATCAGTTTTTGAAGTCGATTTCTTTTTTCTCACCTCAATTGTAAAATTGCCATTAACTCTCCTACAAAAATAATTAATTATATTAAATTGATTTGATTTTAATGAATTAATTTACAATTCCCTTATATAATTTAAAACATCCACTTTTGTCCCAATAATATGTGCAATAACATGAATACATCCTTCTTCAACCTTTTCATATGTATCTAAATCTTTATTTTTTTTATTCACATATGATTCTAAATCTACTTCAAGATTTGTTGTTAATAACTTTATAGCAGGATCTTCCAATCCAAGCTTTTTAGCTCTATCATAATAGGTTTTTTTACTTGTTACTTTATAAGGGGCATACTGAAAAAAATAAAAATATATAATTGTAAAAGATTTCATTTTATAACAACATACAATGTGTTCTAGTTCTTCTAATGTTTTTGCTGATAAAACCGCGTCTTGTAAAACAGGTTGCAAATGATTACCAGCTCGTAAACTTTTTAAAACAGTTTGAGATTTCAATTTAACTGTGGTAATCTCTTCGTAGCATTGTTTAATTTCCCTCAGTGTTTCTGGTGTCATATTATTAGTGACATGTTTTCGATATCTCGCTATAAATGGGATAGTACACCCATCATTAAACATATCAATGATATTACTTGCAACTGAAATATCTAAACTTTGGCGTTCTGCAACTAATTCGTAATCTTTCCAATAATTATCATTGATTTGATTCTCTTTTGTTGCTATCTTAATCTTTTGTGTTTTTATTTCCTTTATGTTTTTACTTATTTTGCTCAATTTTCCTTCTTCATTTTTAGCCTTTGTTGTTATTTTTAGAGATGTTTTTGATTTCTTAATTTTTGGTGAATCTTCTGAATCGCAATCTTTTTCTTCTCTCTTTCTTTTAGGTGGGTAAGCATTTTTAATTTTTGTGGTTTTGTTCATGATTGAAATAACTTTTAAAACTTATCTTCTGTATTGTTTATATTTTTATATTAACTATTAACATTAACGATACTTTCTAAAATAATAGGCTTAAATTTTTTAATGCATGACAGTTTGATTTGACAGATTCTAGTTAACATCAAGCTCAACAGATGGCAACATACCAAGTCTAAAAAAAATTATTAAGTTTTATTTTTATTGTATAACATCATTAATGTAAAATAAAATCATTTTGTAGTTTAATTTTAAAATTTGTAAATTAAAAGTTACATTTTCCTCATACCGAATTACATTTGCCATGCATTACATATTTGGATGTCAAACGTGATATAATAAAAAATTGTACATTAAAATAATCAAATTTTATGTCTTTTTGTCGATAAACCCAAAAATAAAGGTTGAAAAAATCTTTAATCTCATCTAATAGGAATATTTGAGTGCGTTCATTAGAGAATTTTGACTGGGATTGCATCCTTGTTTGTCAAGGCTCATGTTTGGACTTTACTCCGCAGACGAGGAGAACCAAATTATCTATGACCACTGCTGTGCCCATCTCTTGGGCGGTTGTCCTGGTGATCTTATTCTGGCCAAATTCCTCTCATTCACTCTTTCCACATGGTCCTTCCATCTTTTCTTTCTTACTTTTGTCCATTTTACTATATCCTTTATGTATGTTACATCTTTCTTTGATGGTTTTGAACTGTTTGCGTCTGCCAATTGCACGTTTATTAAAACGACCGTTTAACAAACACGTTTCAAATGGGATTGCGTTTATCAAAAATGTTGCTAACAATTTAGACTTCCTTTCCAATACTTAACAGTTGGTGAACGCATTATTTTAAACATTTACAATAAAATAACAATAATAAATTTTTAAAAACTTGTTTATTAATGCCAAATTATATATAAAAAAAGAAGATACAAAGCTAAATATCTTAATAAACATTATTGTTTTAACTTATTCTGTGATCATTTCTTCTATAGGTGCTTCATCTAATTCTAATAAACGTGGGCCATATAAAAGTACATAAGCACAATGCCAATCCCCTATTTAAAAAAGAAACAAAATAATTTATTATAACATTTTTAATTTTTTAATTACCTCCTCCAGATAATTTTAAAACATCTTCAGATGTAACAGGTGAAACTTTGTCATCGTCGCATTTAAGCCAAACATCATCAGATTGTTTAACCCAACCGACATAATGACCACTAGAAGATGAACGTCCTCTATGAGTTAAAACAGCTTGTAAAGTGTAATATCCGCTGTTATTACTACCCAAATCATCATCGAAATGAAATGGGGCGTATTTCGGTTTAACTTTTTCTTTTCCATCTCCTTTATTTTTTTGTTTCTCTCCAACTTTTGCAGCTTCCTCAACTAATTTATCTTCGCGTTCTTTAAATTTGAGTCTCATTGGAGCTAATTTTTCCTGTAATTCTGGCGAGCATAAGTCAAAGGCGTCAAAATCAATAGGAAATTTAACATCTTTCAAGATTTTTGCATTAATCGATTCTTTTTCTTTGTAATAAAATCGAACAAATTGAACGGTAAGATAAGCGGGTAATCGATTAATTTTTGCTGTTTTTATATACACAGCGTCTCGGTTTAATGTTGAAGACATTTTTACAATTTGTTCTTGGAGTTTATTTCGTAAACCGGAATGCATATATCTTACATCTTGTGATATAAAACAGCTCAATTGTAAGAATTGTTCTTTACTTTTTGTAGGGGGTTCATCATCTGTTTCAGAACATTTCCATTCGACATCGAAACTTCCTCCAAAATATTGATCAATTAACGATTTATGACCTTCAGTACTTGTGCTGTTTTTAGCAGGTAGCTTTTGTTGAAGCATTCTCACCATTTCAGTCCAGCATTCATTAGCATCCTAAAAACAATTCCTTTATTAAAGAATATAAAAATTGGGCTATAAAAAAACCTGTTGTGTGAAACTTCCATGTTCACCTTTTTCAGCAAATCTTGGGAAGGCTAAATGAAGTACTTGTAATAAAATAATAGGAGGAATTGTGCTTCCTTTATCCATGCTCGAATAAAGATCTCGTAAAGCTGCTGTTATTGAATGTGCTGGAACAATTCCACCTTGTGCCATAACAGCTGCAAAAAATGTTTGTTACAACCCAAAATTAAATCAAATTTAATCATCTTACCTCCTTGATAGCTTTGCAGAGCTTCTCTCAACTCAGGAACAGTCTTTAAACATTGAACAGTAGCATTCATATAGCATGTATTTCCAAGATTTGTTAATCCTGCTGGTAAATCAAGTGCTGTTGCTAACTCACTTTCATTCATATCTTCAACAAATTTCGTTTTTTCAACAGGTTCTACAGGCACATCTTCCTCTTTACTACCCATAAGTAAAATTGTAGTACCCTAAAACCATCAAAAATTACATATATAACAAATCAATTCATATTTTATTTTAATATTGTTTTATTGAACTCAACTAACATCCTTTAACTTGAAATTACTCCAATCCTCATCTTTTAATGTAACACCCTTAAGCATAACTTTTTGTCTCTCTGGTTGTACCCCAGTTAAAGCAAATAATTGAGCTTTAAACAACATGGGAGGTTCCTCTGTGTTAACTTCAATGTCCGGATAGGTCTCTTTCCCCCATTTAACTTTAACTAAAGAAGAACACATCTTGTTTTATTAAGTGACGATAAATAACTGAATTTGTTCCCAAAAACATCTCTTTGTTTTCAGCGTGAGGTAGCGTGAATAAGCAAAAAATAAAAGGACTGTGTATGTAAATGGAAATGTCACCGGCATAAGTAAGGTTAGGTTACAAAACGTGATTATTTACCTTTAAATGCAGGCATTTTCCGTAACGTTGGGTTGAGAACTGTAAGGAATTATCGAAAAGTTAGGTTTTTCACTAATTTTAGTTGAGTTTTGTGTTATAGAAAATAAAAATCCGGGAAGGTTGTTATCACAGTTTTTATTGGTTGAACGTTGGCAACCATAAACGTCATTTTTAATTTTTTAATTGTCACGTTTTGTTAATTAAAATATTAAATTTTAAATTCTTAAAAAATAAGATTACTAGTGGTATCCGATTGAAAACTGCGGGAACTTGTTAAAAAGTTCTATTTTAATAATTTGTATTACTTGTATTTCTTGTTGAAGAAAAGTTTGTTTTTGAAGTTGGCAACTATATATTTCAGTTTGATTTTGTGTTATGTTTTTATAAAGTTTTAATGATTTTAAATTACACTTGATTAATTTAAATTAGAAGTAATCAGATAATTTCAAAACTCATGAATATCGCAAAATATAAAATAAGATTAATTTATTAAGGAATTACCGCCATCTATTAATGACAGCTATTAATAAACTGGGTATTTCCTGGTACAGTAGCTAATGTCAGAGAGGTAAAAGTATCGAAAGGTTTATGTATTTGCTCGACTGGGATATGTGGTGTCCGCTTATTTACGAAGACTTTCGTTCATTGTAGAAAAGCTCGGTCGCGAGGACATAAAATAGCAAAAAGTGGCGCTAAAAGACGCGGTGCTATGGTTCTAAAGTGACCCCGCGATTTTTTGGTTTTATCCTAGTGTAAATCAAAGAGAATCAAGAAAAGGAGTTGTTCCAAAACAAAAAACCAAAATAAAATGGGAAATTGTTTCAGTAGAAATTCCAGTAAAGACCTAGAAACGGGTCGGGTTACGCCCCCAGTAGAAGTTGGTATGATGCCCCCAGCTGCAGCTGTAGTTCCACCCCAAGAACCTATAAGACCTCCGGTTCAACAAAATCCCGCCGAACCAGATCCTCCTAATTCGAAAATTTTTGTTGCTTTATACGATTATGATGCTAGAACTGACGAAGACTTAAGTTTTCGAAAAGGGGAGCATTTGGAAATATTAAATGATACACAAGGAGATTGGTGGTTAGCGAGAAGTAAGAGAACAAGACAAGAGGGATATATTCCATCAAATTATGTGGCTAAATTAAAGAGTATAGAAGCTGAACCGTAAGTATTTTAGTCATATCTTTTTTATTATTACTCATTTTAGTGTATTTTTTGTTAAATATAAGTAAGCAAGTTATGAGTAATAACTAGATTTGATTACTGAAGTCAACTAGAAAGTATTTAGAAACTTAAATATTTGTATATTTTGTTACTTAACCATTTCAGATATGTTTTCTGTGAATTTTATTTTAATTATGTAATTATAAAAGGCACTTAACAATAATAGATAGAACACTTTACTAATGCAGTGAAGTAGTTTTAGTGATTATCATAATAAGTATGAGATTTTATCAGAAGGTAACAACATATCATGGTAAATATGATAATTTTGTTTTGAATGAGATTTATGTTGGTACATGACCCCAACTGTTGTTTACATTTAAGATTCAAAAGTCAAATTTTATATGTCAACTTAAAAAAATTTCTCTGGGACACTATTAGATACTTTATATAAGAATATATTGTTTGTTATCGTTTTGTTATCAATTTTATGACCGATAAAATGCTTTTAGGTCTCTGATTTTTTATTAATTAAACTGGAATTTAAGATTATTATCGTAAAACTCTGGCAAATTAAAAAAAATTTTTGATTTTAATATTTGATATAACTAATTACTTAAAAAAGTAATTCCATTTGAAGAACAAAATCAGATTTTTTAATAAATTACTAAGTTTTATTATTTATTATTGTTAAGAATACTCCTTGAAAGGGAATACATCTTCTAAAACAAAATGAGATTTAATGCTTATAATAATAGTTTCCAGTTGGATAAGCAAATGTCTCTGTTCTGCGAAATAAAACTTTATTACCGTGATTTTATAGGTTAACATAAAATCTAATAATAAATTCTCAACAAATTCTATTACACAAATAGAAAAAAATTTGGTTTGATTTGATGATGTTTGGTTGATGGAAGTTATTTTGAAGAAGATTTCACAAAGTTCGATAAACTGAAAAGATTCGCCTCATTTTGTTCTTATTATTGCTGTTGGACTCACGTCACCGCAGTTTCATTCTTTTGTACAAATTAAATACTTAACAAACAAAAATATGTAAGTAGTTAATCGTTTTTGGAAGATACAGTAACTGATTTTATTTACTATATTCATGCTTCTGTATTTCACATAATGTGATACCCTGCCTTAAATTAAATTTTGTAATTAGGATTGAATGAAACTTGTAAAATAATTTCACCATCCCCTCATTTTCAATGCATAAAATGACGTATGTTGCGTTGTCTTTCCGGAAATGGTTAACCTAAAGCAATCTATACTATTTTTAGACTCGGTTTGAGTATCTTTTTGATTTCTATTTCCCAGAGATTCAAATATTAAACTTGTTCTAGGCATTTTTTTATTCGCTTAATCTGTCCAACTTGTCATTTTATGGTGGTAATTTCCTTTAAAGCTTTTCCGTTCTAAAGAAGTTTTCAATTCTTGTAAGAATGTCGCACAAAGATTTAATATTAAATGAAAACGTCTACTCCTATTAGAAAATCAATAGGAATTGCAAAGACGACCGTTAGTTGATTAACTTAATCATCAGGACAAACCGGAAAGACAACCGATAAATAACGACAATCAATCAGGATCATCCAATAAAAGAAAAAGGGGCCAAAAGAACTTGTAGTGGATGAAGAGATCGTTGGTTTTTGGAAGTTACCCAAAGAGGAGTTAGTGTAAGCAGACCACAAAAGCATAAAAGTTAGGACATAAACATTTTACAGCAATAGAAGGTTGGATTGGAAATGACATCAAATTTAAAAAGCACGTGATAAAATAGCAAAACCTCAATGTTTGAAAGAATGTCTTTAAATGCCTTTGTTTTAAATAGCAAACAAAAATGCATGATTGCCAATATTTTTTAAAACTGGTTAATAGATTGGGACCAAATTAAGGAAATATCTAGGAAGGTTTATTTATTAATCGATAACAGTCGACCTCTTCCACTGATGGACCAACTAAAAAATATCCGATTACAATATTTACCTTCCAATACCTCTATAACGCAACCGATAGATATGGGTGTTATCAAAAATTTAAAACTGCGATATCGCAAATTGGCATCGAGTGGTAAAAAGGTTAACTCGAAAGTCCACGTGCTACAAGCGATCCAATTGGTGAAATATTGGTGACGCAATTAATTAGTCATTGTAAAGTGTAAGTGTTTTAAAGATCAAAACACACCGTTAGAAGAAGGCAGCCTTTGGACGCATTCATACAGAATATGTTCAGTGGTTTCTTGAGAGTGGTATTATAGAAGTGTATGGTCGACCTGGAAACCTGAGAGCGAATTTAAGGCGGCTTAAGGCGTGAAAATGTTTATCGATGCACCTTTCTGTCCCTTATACAGTAGTTAGATTAACTACTTAATTTCTTTGCAACAAATTTTTAATTCAGGGAATTTCTTTTATCGTTATAGATGGTGCCATAAACTTTACTTTAGTTATCGATAAACGCATTTTGAAGTTGAACGTTTATATCTGGATTAGATAATTTTTATAACTTTAATTTTTAAGTTGAATTAATTTATGTATTAAACAACTTCTTATCGTGGATATGATGATGTATTACCTGATTCCCACTTATAACTTTTATTATCATTTTTAGATAAATTTATCTCTTATATTATGCATTTTATCTATTTTATAACTTTCACAAATTTCATGCATTTCCTCAACGCAAAAACTAATTACAAAACCGAAATTATCTATTTTGACTTGATAATTTCTTTGTTCGCGTCGGCTTTTACATTTATCTGCAGGCGTGGTACGAACACAATCGAAATTAATTTGCATGCTCCTTCGCGCGCATACGGTGAATACAGTCTCCTGTCATTTTCGATCAAGGCGAGTCAGTTGGCAAACCGAAAGCTACTTAATAACATGCACGGTTCAATCGCATCACAACATTTTTTTTTTACCTCACTTTCCTCCATATCGTTATACAAGGTCAAATTGAACCTTGTAATGTCCTTCTCTTTTTTGTAGTCGTGTTCAGGATCAAGGACGATCTCGTAACAACTACAAAAAATACAATTTCAATAAACGCTTCGTTTACGTAATTTCCTTGTTTTTACGTTTAGAATGATGGTTCAATAAAAATCAATTCTGTTTAAATGGTTTTTGTTGTTTTATCGTATTCTTTTCAATTTAATTTGTTTGTTGCATTTCTTTTAGTCACTAATTAGTCGTACCTAACTAAACTAAAAATTAGATTTTAATAAAACAGGACGTGTGTGCGTATTTATTGAATGTACAAATTATTGGTGCGAAACGTGCGGATTTTTTTGTATGTATAAATGTTTTAATTAAAAGTCACAATGTGTTTTTATGGATTAAAGTAATTACGATTGTTATGTCCAGTGAAGAATCAATTAATTTATTCATCAAGGCTAATTCAGGACAAAGCGAGGATAAATCAATAATGATTTTTGTTTTTAATCCATCCCATTTATTTTTTGTTGTAGAAATAATAAACGATAACGAACACATAATTGAAAATACACAACTAAAACACCTCGTGCCTAAGTAATTTCTCATCAAGAAAAAGAAAGCTTGTGAAACGTTAGTAATTATCTTAATTTGAATTATAGTTGAGGGGAGAATCGAAAGTTAAGTTCAACAAGCGATAATGATGGTTTTGTTTTTTTAGCGAAAGCTCTTTTAGTTCATTTATGATTCAATTTAAAATCTTTTGTTGTTATTAAATGATGAACTTTTGAAATATGTTGTTTATTTTGAATTTAATTAATTCTGTTTAAATAATTTTTAAACAAATTTTTGACAGATTAGATTAAAAAGTGCAAAAACCGAAAGAAGTGAATATTCAGACGATGACTCTTAGTAGTCAAGGAGACAGACGACTTATAAGAGCAAAAAAAGACGACAAAAATGTTGAAGCTATTTATACAGACACCGGATAACGCTCCCTCGCACACAAAAAGAACGAAGAAAACGAACCGCAAAACGACTCAGAAGCTCGAGTGCAGCTCTTGC